ATGTGAGAAAAATTGACATTAAAAAAACTGGAAAAAAGAGAAAAATTTACGTTAGACTACCATGTTCTGAAGGTCCTGGGATTGAATCTACACTGTGATATTTTTTTGTTCCTTTTTAGTTCTTTAAATAGTTTTCTTTACTTTCATGTTTTTAATTGTTCAAATCCTAGTTTTTAGTGGCTTTGAAGAATTTTCTTTTAAGGGAAATTAGTCCGATAACCATTCGTTTGATAGTCTGGTTCCAAGTGCCACAGATCCTTACGTTGAATAATGTCAGGCCAGGCAACCCGAAGGTCAACTGCCGTCACGATAGCCACTGCCTTTTTGAAAAGGGAATTGAAGTCCGAGAACCATTCGGTTGGCAACTGACGCATCGCCTACAGTCAATCTTCCTAAAGAATAGGGTGATTGTGTACTTACGGGCCCTGCAGCAGCCGATTTCATGAAACAGTGCGCAACTTGCGCGATGCGTAGGACAGTACTAACGCAACAAATTGTTGTGCAGTTGCGCAATAAACTTACGATAGATTTCACGAAATTTGGCGTAGTTGCGCAATGTTTAACATAATTTAAATATCTTAGATGAGGATAATAACAGCATTTTCGACGGCTATTTGTGTTTATATAACACCCAAGTAGATCCTCGTCCTTTGATTGGAGGATTGTAGGTCACCCGGAATTCATTATCAAACCAATGCATGGCTTACGTCATAAACCGTGCATTTTTTGGTACCATTCACCGTGCATTTTCGTTCCATCCCTTTTGATCTATTGCACGCGCACGCTATACCAAGATCTTATAGCGCGCGTCGCGCTTACGATCTTTGCGCTAGACCACATTATGCGTTTTATACAGCAGTACAAAACTTGTCTTTGAAGTGAATGCAGTTACGAACTGCACTTGCCTTGCAGAATTTGTTTGCATTGTTTTATTACTTCGGGTATTAACTTTTATAAAATGGTTTGACCTTTAACTTCGTTGCTACCGGTAACTTGAACTTTGAACAAGCTGGGGAAAAAAGTGAATACCATTTTGTAAGTTTTATCCTCCAATCGAATGACAAGTTATATAAAACAAATAATGAATGTTTTGCATTAGTGCAATGGAGAGAACATTTTCATTCATAGAAAGATGGAATATTCCATTCAACTTGGCTTCGCCTTGTTGAATGGAACATTCCATCTTTCAACTCATGAAAATATTTTCACCATTGCACCCATAAACATTCGTTTATAATGATTTCGTACAGTCGCAAAACAGTCGATGAATCACCTCCACTCGCCATTTTTGTCCGATCTTGGTTTTTTTTACTAGTAAAATAGTTCATTTTCAGTCGCTACGCCACAACTTACGCCACTTAAAATGATTGCGCAAGCTACACCATAAGTTGTTGCGCAAGTCACTGACTTACGGACTATTAAACTTGAGTGAAATGTGTCATTACTGAAAAAATGTTCCGCAGCGTGAAGTACTGCGCAAATTACACAATAAATTGTTGCACAAGTGTACTTATATTGCACAAGTGGAGTTAAGCCATTGCGCAAAGTTTCATGAATTGGCTAATTCATGAAACTTTGCGCAATGGCTTAACTCCACTTGTTCCTAACAACAAAAATCAACTTTCAAGTTAAATTGGACCTAGTTGGTTACGGGCCCCTGTTTAGTTTTGGTCAAATTAGGTGTTTCACGGTAAAATGCGCCGTCTTGCCGACGGGGCAGTTTTACACGCGTTGCTGTGTACGCATCGTCAATGGAAAACTTTGGCGCTTCCAAGTCATCAAGCGGTCATTCCAAAATCTAGCAACTCATGTTCTTTTTGCCCTGTGAACAAGATGGAGCATATTACCGTGAAACACCTGATTTAGAGTCATGGATGTTTTCTATCATTCCAAAATGGCTTTTTCAACCTAAAGCAGACTTTTTTTTATTCGAATAACACCATTTTTTGTACTTTTGAACAGTTTCTTGCAGTGGAAAATGCGATTTTCTTACGCGTTTTACGGTTGGTGCCATGCGAATCAAAGCGGTTTTGCGCATTCACTGTGCGTCGCGGTGATCATCATCTTTATTTTCGTGTTGCGTTTTGTAAACATGTAAAAAAGGCCTTTCATCTTGAACAATCGCCGGGTTTCGATTCTTTTGGGTAAAACAACGATGAAGACGACAAAATGCAACATGAAAGTAAACTAAAGATGGCGATCACCGCAATGCACCAAAACAAACCATGTTGATTCGCATGGCACCTACCGAAAAAAACATCCGAAAATCAACAACGGCAACAGCTTACCAAAAAAAAATTCATAATCTCCACCACTCCCATAAAGTTTGATGCAATCCAAATGTGGCGTCTTCCCCCAAATTCCCCCCCCCCCCCCCCCCGCATGCCCGCCCACGTCCACCAGCACCAACTCCACCCGTTTCAACGCTACACGCGTGGACGCTTGGCGTGGGGAACAACTACAACTTTCCCATGCTTCCATTTGGTTCACATGGCAAATACAGGTTAGATAGGATAAAGGTCCTGCGAGAAAAATGCAAAGTCTTTCAGATTTTCTCTTTTCTTTCTCTCACAAGCAAACTTACCGTCTTTTTTTGTAACTTTTGGTGATATCGTCTGCACAAATTTACACAAAACGAAGTCGCGTCGCCTAGACAGTCAATGGCCATATTTTTGTGGTGACCGCATGTACGTGTGTAATGTACGCGGACACAAGAGGGGGTACTTCACTTTCACAAATTCAACAACCATTACAAATTTGAAATCCCGAGTTCGTCTCCAGCTTCGGCTTTATCACTGACTTCAAAAGCATGAAAAGCGTCTAACGTCTAAACCAAATGAAATGGCTTTTAACTGTGGTTGTATATTATAATAGGACTGTTATGATTTTCAATAAGAACATGTACCTACACTGAGCCATAATACTCCAAAGTAGGGGCATAAAACTTTTTTGAAACCGAGGTTTGGTAAACAAGGTCAGAATACATTCCTTGTTAGGCCTACCCCATATTGCAACTAATTTCTCAATGAGCTATTTCCTTCATATTCCTTGAAACAAAAATTAGTAATAAATATATAGAAGTTAAGCTTAAAAGCTGGAGAATTCCGGTGGTTTTTTTTTAATTTGATTTCAAATACACCCTATCTGATTTCTATAAAATTCGGTTTTCTAGCAAAAAGATGTTTGTATCAGAGCAAAAGCCCATCCCATTTAAGTGCATTTTAACACCTCGACGACACATTTGACAAAATTGAACACAACCGAATTTAATCAAATAACATCAAGTGACAAATTGATTTCTTTATTGACATGCTTAAAGGCACTGCACTGTAACAGTGCCTTATGCATTACCTGTTCTGTAGAAATTACGACATATTGTACTACAAAAAACTCTTGAGCTCCAAATATAGCTCATTTTTGTCCCCATGGGCAGACCAAAAAAGGGTTTATATAATGGGTCATTCTATAAATTAAGGGTCCAATTGTGACATTTGTCCTGTTCCTGTTATACATTGGTACTTTGTAATAAATCTTGTACGTATGACTCAGTCCTATAGACGGAGATGCACAACATGACCTAACTGAAGTCAAATCTCGCATATAAGTTTACTGTGGGACCGACTTCAAACAAGGTTTATAGACCCCTTTCAATTCATAGACGGCCATCTTTGTAGGAAAATAACAACTGTATGTTCAACACCATCAGGTGCGTGTGTACGTTCATACTGAAATTTGTATCCTTGTGGAGACATTTCTTTGTTCTTGTGTATTTAAGTTTTCAAGTTTGAAAGTAGTTTCAAACTGCTCTTATTTTAACCAGAATTAATTTCCTTGGCTGAAATTCAGACTTAATATCCCTTTTCTAAAACTCCACCATTTGCGACGGATCAACATACCTTGGAAATTCCTGGTTTTTGAGTAAAATCCAATTATATCTATTTCGTGAAAACCTTGTGGAGACGTATTCATCTATAGAAATTGCCCTGTGGAGATGTATACAATCTTCTGTTCCCTATTGTGTGCATGTCTCCAGTGGGCACGGTGTATCAGATCGTGTTCTACATCACCCCCGAGGACAGACACACAAAGGGAAAACAATAGATCCTTTCAGTCCTTTAGCTGTATATTTTGAGAAAAACAACATTCTAGGATCTCAATTCAAATCAAAAAGTGGTGAATCATGTTTTGAATTGGGCCTGAATTCAGCGTCCGAGACACGTTCTCACTGAGCCGATTGCAGCTACGCCATGTTGCGCACTGATCCGACGAATTATAGCAACCGCGCGCGCGTGCGTCGTGCCAATGCTTGCACGCTCATCGCCGAATAACAAAACGAACTACTAATTTGAATTTTTTTACGGTGCTTCTAGAAGCACCGTTGGAAAGGTCTTCTTTTGGTGATTTCTTCAAAATGACAGCTTGCTAGAAAGAATAATTTCACAGAGAGTTTAGTCCCCTTACTATCTTTCAACCAAGTATGTTTTTCAACAATAATTACGCCAGTTACTTTTTGGATAGCTGCAATGATGGACTCTGGCTTTAAATACTTCTATTGTAGTATAATGTCTTTTTTTATACTGGCCTCTATTCTCTTTATATTAATATGAGATGAAATTCTGTCAGCAGCTGCTTTGTAGAAAAACTTGTTATAAAGTGTATAAACAATAAAAAGTGCATATCTGAGCCTCTTACAGAAAACACAAAGCAGTCAAGTTAACATTTTGAACAGATGCAAACCTGTATTCATAAATACCTAAGACAGTTTACCCATTCCTGTTGGTTGAGAGCCCGTCACGTGGGTAGTTTTAAACTGCTGATAAAACAACAACTGGTTTTTAACACTCTATTCTTGCACTGCTGTGTTCTGCGCCACGTCTTACAGTACGCGCCGTATCTTACAGTACGCGCCGTGTGCGCGCCAGTCTCCATAAAAGGACATGGCCAGAGGGGTGTTTTATAAAACACGAGGTAAAATTGTTGAACAAAATCAAAATGTTGACTTGTTTCGACTAGATATGATCGAAAGGTATTTATGAATGGGAATAAATTTATGCTTGGCCGGTATTAAACGAGTACGTTTAAAACCAGCTAGGTGCCTGGTTGCGGATAATGGCCCGATCCAAAACATACTTGTTTTAAACCAGTCAAGCACATATTTATTCCCTTAGATGCTTAAATGTTTAGCACACTTTGACTTGTATATCAAACAAACCTTAGTAAAGTCTTTAATATATAATTTGACAACCATTTAAAAGAGACATTATTTATTCAAAATTTATACATGTTCAAGTAGGTGTGGTGCTGTTGGCCTTTGAATACATATACATTTTCCCATTTCCCTCCCCCCCCCCCATATTATGCCAGATGAAAACCAAAAGCATCCAGACATTCTGTAACATAAGTTCTTTCCATCTTTGCAGGTAAAAAGAGAGAGAGATGTGTGAGAAATGTGAAGATACGTCTCTCGTTCTGTTTTCTTTTTCATCCTTTTCTGACACGGTGTTTCAACAAACGTCTTCATAGTTGTACTCTTTACAACGCAGACCTCAAATTGTATTTATCCTGCTTTAAACTGGAGGGCATTCTTATGGTGACTGATTTTCAGATGCTATTGGTGGTGTAGCGAGAGAGGTGGGTGGGTTGGTTTAATGCCCCCCCCCCCAAGAGAGGTTTCAAAAGCTGACCTGAGAATATCAATAAAATATTTGCACACACACACACCCCTCCCCCTCCCTACGACAAAATTGTTTTTGCAACATTTTGTAACATCACACTGTCCACACTGGCAGGCTTTTGGTTACAAATTATGGCAGTCAGTAAAATGGATGGACAGTCTGTTTTAACACTCCAACTCCCCCCCTCTCCCCAGGGTCAATCCTTCCAGTTCCAGGGTATGCATAGCTCCCCACCCCATAGCACCATGTAGACGTGACCCACGCGTATGCTGGCATCCCGTAAGGACACGCCCAGCTCCAAGGGATTCTCTGTGAGTCTCTTGCAGCAGGACACCATTTCTTCGGCCGTCACTGAGTCGTCTTTAGTCAACGCGGTCAGGTCCAGTTCTTCCACGCAGGCCTGGATGGCAGCAATCTCTTCCAGGAGATATCTAGAGAGAAGAACAGATACACCCTTGTTTATCTAATACATGTACCTAATATCAACCTGTGATGTCATGCTGTGATGTTCATTTCAAAAGGTATTTGTTGTATCGTGTTTTCGATACTGCAATGGCCACGTATCCAGTCCATAAAAATAACGGTTATCTTAGACCCCTCTCACACCAATACGTGAAGCCATTTTGTGGCCACTTTGAGGTGTCCGTGGGCGCAAAAGTTTAAAAATCGAAGTAACCACGAAATGGAATCGGATCTCACGGGTTGCCACTAACTAACCACAAATTAAAGACGTGTCGATTCCTTCCATGGGCCAATTCTCACGGATGCTCCACGGATCACCCAAAAAGTTTGTGGATATGTTGAAAAACTTAAACGTGTGCACTTCGGAAATTTATTGCCGAATTGAAAACGGGTTCAATACGGCTTATTCGAAGTACTCTCGTAGTGTTCTCGAGGTTGGGCTGAAGTTACATCGGATTTTACGGGATGGCTCCGGATTGATTGTTGGCCTGTTTTACAGCTGTTTTCATTACGCAGTACTCGATGGTACTACGAAGTGTCCACGAGTTGGCCACGAAGTGCTCACGGACTACACGTAGTAATCTTGAGCTGGCGCCGTAGTCACCACTGAAACCACGTAGTAGTCTCGAGCTGGCGCCAAAGTCATCACGGGATGCAATCGGGATGGCCATGAGATGTCGCCGGCGTGCAGTCCGTGAATTCCAGGAAACGGACATGAGCACGGGTTGGTCCCATGGTGTTTCCGAGGTGGCCACGGATCACTCACGAAGTGAAAACGGGTACCACGAAATAAAAACCTGCTTGCATCAAAAAACGGACAAAAAACCGGAGACCACGGATACTGTTGAAAAAATTGCATTTCCGAAGTGACCTCGCACTGGTCTTGGATTGGTGTGAGAGGGGCATTAATATCTGTGCTTCTTTGCATATACATTACTTCACATACACTGTGTTGCATATAATTTACCTCATAGACACTGCCATATTACCTATGCCTTGCATGCACACGTACGTCCTGCCCACACGTCTTGCAAAAAAAGAGACCCGCAACCACTCGATCTCATGTTCGGCAGAAAAGCTTGCAATTATCAAAGATTACACCACGGTGATTTAATGCACTTCTTGCATAGTAAGTTACAAGCTTGATCTTTATGACTTATTGGCATGATATAGCAAAAGGAAAAATGACATATCCCACATCACAGCAGTCATTTTAAGAGCTATACATACAAAGTGAACCAAAAAAAAGTTTGTAGAAAGTCAGCAGCACCAACCACAACATCCCATTTTGTAAAACTGGTGTGATATGGTTTTTTTTAGGAGAAGTAACGTGAGGCAGTAATGAATTGTCATAAAAAGTAACGAATTGTTGTTGTGGGTCCAAGGAAGTTGTACTGATTTTTCTGCTTGGTAAAGTTTAAATTCTGACTAGATGCACCAAGCTTTTGGAGAATCAGTACAAAAAAACCTCCAAAACCCAAAATTTGAGTGTTTTGGGTCGTGCGGTTAGTGAGTTTCAGGTCGTTGAGCTTTTGACCTTGCAATTGTTCACTATAACTTTGGACAACTGTATCTCCAGTTAGAAATGCCGGACAAAACCAATTTTTATCTTAAATTAAAGCTAATAATAAAATTATTTATCTAGTCCTCAAATGAAAGAAAATGAAAAATGTGAAAGTTCAGCATGACGTCAAGGAGAACAAACTTTGACCTTTGACCCCGCGCGGGCCGCAAAATATTTTTGTGGTAATTTTGTCCTAAGAAGGCTTCAGGTGTACTCGAGCTTGTGAAACATTAAAATGGAATCTCAAGGGGTTGAGACGGGACATATGCTTATATTGAGGGCAGTACCTCAGAAAGGCATTTCTTGATCCTACAACCATGACGACCTCCTGCTTTCTAGTGTAGGACTAGTCACTACTCGACCACAAAACTTGCTAAGTCAACTGAAATTCAACAGAGCAGTCGACACCATTACCGGTGAGACGGATTGTTCCATAAGGGCGATGAGAAAACAGAATAAATTATGGAGTCACCTCTGATGGTGCCTCCTGATATCTTTGACCCGGAATCCATTGTCCAGGAGGAAGTTGATGAGCTCTGGTGGCTGGCTGGATGCGGTCACATGGAGTGCACCTCTAGAAGACACGTACATCCGACCAGAATCACTACAGTGGAACAAGGAGACAATATATCACATAACAAGTCTGGTGTGTTCCAAAACACAAATGCCCCGCAACCGTGACTGTTCCCATGACATAACACCACTCTTTTAACATCAACTTAGATGTACATGTACATGTACTTGGGTCACATTGAACGTTCATTGACATCATTAGTGTTTTCTGTAGGTTTTATATGAATTAATGAACAATCCACAATTTCTTTTGTTTTGAGTCACTGTGACCTTGACCCTTGACCTTTCGGCCCCAAATGCGATAGGCTTCTTAGAATTACCAAGAACAATCTACAAACCAAATTTGAAGTTCATTTGTTAAGTATTTCTCAAGTTATCGCGCTGACAAGATTTGTCCGGACACACACACACACCCACACACCCACCCACCCATGGAAGGACAAGGCGGAAACAGTATGCCCCTTCGGCTTCGCCGCGGGGCATAAAAATGTAAGTAAATATCCAGATGGTTAATACCAAACTGCCCTGCTTGATACTCCTTGTCTTGCCAAAGCCATCCCAGCGCTGTATGGTTTCATGGCTTTATTGGGTAATAACTATAATTTAATATAATGAACTACAGGTGCTAACAGTGTTGATTTTGAAACACTTCTCATGTCATGAAGATATACTCTTAAAGGCACAGTAGATCATTTGCAGCTATCCAAAAAGTAACTGACTACATTATTGTTGAAAACCTTGGTTTAAAGATAGTAATTGCAATAAACTCCATGTGAAATTATTCTTTCTGGCATGCTGTCATTTTTGAAGAAAACAATAATCGACATGACGCACACGTGCGTGCGGTTGCTGTTGTTCGTCGGTTCAATGCTTGACATTGCACAGCTGCAATGGGCTGAATGAGAACATGTCCCGGATGCTGATTTCGGGCGCAATCCAAAATATGACTCTGCAAGTTTTGAATAGACCTAAGACCTAATGACGTCTCGCTCTGTGTACATGGGAGCCAATGGGGTGGGAATGTACAAGGGGAAAACAGGACAAACAACTTGATATTATTTTCCTGCTTCATTTCCCAATTCCATGTCACACTTTTGTACCTCTTTAGTCTGGAATGACCCATGTACTTTTCTTGTACATAAATGGAAATTTGTCGCGTTTTTTTCCATACTGGCGAATGGGTGGCATCGCGTTTTTTCTTACCGGCAAACAGGGAGCACAATTGTAATACCTGTTCGCCCGTATGGAAGGAGCGCGGTGCAACCTGTTTGCCAGTATGTAAAACGCGATGAATTATGCATAACCAGTTCCCCTTCCTCAGAGTTTAGAGATGGAAAACGATGAATTCAGTCAGCCACTTATCCAAGGTTAGGAAATTATCCGCTTACCCGACAACATTAATTTCCACATCGGCCAGGAGTCCTCTGGATATTCTTTGGCAGTCACGCTCGCCTTCCACCGTCCGACGGTACCGCTGGAGCCCGCCGCTCATCTTGTGGAGCAATGCCAGGTAGGTCTGGGCCGGCATGAGATTACGACAGCAGTGCCTGGACAGCCTCAGGCTGCCCCCTAGGAAATCCGAGAGCTGTCGCTCTGCTACGGACAGGTGGTCCAGGATTTTCATCTGCTGGGGCAGGCTGCTCAGGAACTGCCAAAAAACAATATCACAGATGAGCCAGTTTAAAGGCACGTACATGTAGGAACACTGGTGATTACCCAGAAATGGACCTACCGATTTAATGAGAAAATTTGCTCAGAGTAAAGATAAGAATGGTGCCAAATACCCTGTGACATTATTCCGCTTGAAATGGTGTCATTCAGAAGAAAACAATCATTGAAGGTGGTTTTAAAAAAGTGTGCCCGCGGGCACACTTCTTCATTTTAAACAAATGGAATTAATACACAACCCAAACAATTTTGTATACATTTCCTCTGTTTTCTCAAACATTGTCAAAGTGTACAGTAGCCACTGAACTGAAACTGCACTGTGCACCCTGCTTAAGATTTTGAGCACATTTATTGCTTCAACTGACAAAAATGCACAAAAAGCAAATAATCCTACGTACCTGTTACCTACAAATACAAATATTACATTATTTACAGGATGGAATTTGCATCGAGGAGATGTACATTCAATACTGGTTTTTGTCCTTCACCGACATATTTTATAAACACTGTGTACTCAGTGTTGTCCTGAGGGCTTGTGAGAAGAAGTTCACAAGTTTACTCCAGTCGGCCTAGAACCTACAACCTTGCACTTACAAGTGCAGACGTCTTACCACTCGAACACCGAGCTTGCCGGGGTGGGCTAGCTGGTTTGAATCCAAACTACCAACCAAACTATTTGCAGCAAAACATTCGACTCTCTCTTTTTAACCCTTGAGGGGGCACTTTTGCACAGAGTCCAAACAGTTCAAGTTTTGGCAAGTTCGATCAAGGACCATCTAGTGAACCACAATTCAACTAACTCTAACCAAGCTAGTTGACAATCATTGGACAATGGTTGGACTAGTCCAGTCAACTATTTACCACCAGCCTAACACAGCTAGTTACGCCACAATTTATAGCCGTTTGTCTATTGCAATTTTTCATAGCATGGTTCAGAGGGGACCAACTATCAACAAAAATGGCGGAAAAACGAGAGTGCTAAATTTCATTTTTATTGCATAGTTTATCCATATTACTTTACAGTTGTGTCACTTTTGCCACCACTGTGCAAATAACAATGGTGTTTTGTAAGGTGTCCTAAACTACACAATCACTATTATTTGTGAAAAAAAACCCACAGAAACATCAGGTGTTGAAAAAATATTCAGTAGATGTGCAAGCGCCATTTTCTCACGATCGTTGACATGACAATAGTTCGGCTAGAGTCGTTCGCACTTCAACTACAATGCACAAGCGCTAGCTATTTCACGAACCAACCACTAGTTAACCATTGGTCCTTGATCGAATCTGCCTTTAATGACTGAATTGGTTTGGATATACTCACTGCAAGCCACTGCTGTTCCACATTTTTATTGCTCAGCATCACATGACCCTCTCTTGATACACCAGTCAAGCTTCCAAACACTAGTCTCTTTCCTGAAAAAGCATTTAGATTTATCGTCAAAATTAGCCTGTGTATTTTTGAACCAGTGCTTTAATCAAATCAAAGAAAGCTTTTAAAGAAATGCTGGGAAAGTAAGCGAGTCATTTAGGGGAGTATGTATGGGGGACCCCCGTGCACCCCCCCCCCCCCCCCCCCCCCGAACTAACTTTCACCAATTTGTTTGGGTGCCTTTTAGGGTCCTAAAACACATTTTTGATGTTAACAGTAAAAAAAATCCAATGCAAAGGAGATTTCCAAGATGGCCACCAATATGGCCGCAAAAATGGTAAAAACTGGAAAAAAGGCATTTATTAGCCAAATTATGTGATAAAAGCATAAATAAAATGGTTAGTTATATGTTTTAGACCCTCGAAAACTCATTTCTGGTATCTGTGTTTTGCTATCATGCTTCAAATTCAAGATGGCAGCATTTAGTGGCCAAAATGGCCGCCGTATTGGTAAAAAATGGACAAAATCATATATCAGCCTAATAATATCATAAAATCATAAGTGAAATTGTTAGTTGTATGTTTTGGACCCTCACAATTTCATTTCTGGTATCACTTTTTTTGCTATCATGCTTCAAATGCATGATGGCGGCTAAGATGGCGGTCAATATGGCCGCCAAAATGGTAAAACAAATGGAAAAAAATCATCTATCAGCCAAATAGTGTGATAAAAGCATCAATAAAATTGTTAGTTATGTTTTTTACCCTCGCACATTCATTTCTGGTGTCCCATTTTTGGCTATTATGCTTCAAATTCAAAATGGCGGCCAGGATGGCCGCAAACATGGCCTCCAAAAGCGGTCAAATGTGAGAAAAATGATATATATTCGCCAAATAATATAATAACTGCATACATTTAAATAAAGAAACATGCTGTTGACCTTTACAAATTCATTTAAGCATTCTTTAGTTTTGCTACCATGAACCAAGTTTAAGATGGCTGCCAATATGGCTGCCAATATGGCTGCCAAAAATGGTCAAATTTGAGAATAGCCATATATTGGCCATAGATGTAAAAGATATATCAGTGAAAGTTGAGATGATGTACTTGAGACTGCATTGCATATCTGGATTTGTCTTACTTGCAAACATGTTTCAAATTGAAGATGGTGGTCTAAGTGACGGTAGTAAGGCCGGGCTTCCATCACTGGCCGGTTTAAGTACAGGCCAGCCGGTAGCTCGGCCGATTAGTTTAATCCTCTTCAAATCGGCCATATTGGCCTCCATTTTGGATTTTAAGCCTGATAGCAAAAACAGATAACAGAAATCAGTGATTTTCCAAGGGTAAAAAATATATAACTAACAATTTTATTGATGCTTTTATCACATTTTATGGCTGATATATGACTTTTTTCCAATTTTGTTTACCATTTTGGCGGCCATATTGGCCACCATCTTGGCCATCATCATGAATTTGAAGCATGATAGCAAAAAAGAGATACCTGAAATGAATTTGAGAAGGTCAAAATCATATTTTACAATTTTATTTATGATTTTATCATACTATTAGGCATATATATGACTTTTTCCATTTTTTTTCCCAATATGGCGGCCATATTGGCCGCCAAATTTGCCGCCATCTTAAATTTGAAGCATGATAGCACAAAACGGATACCAGAAATGAGTTTTTGAGGGTCTAAAACAATAACTAACCATTTTATTTATGCTTTTATCACATTATTTGGCTGATATATGTCTTTTTTCCCGTTTTTACCAATTTTGCCGCCATCTTGGATATCTCCTTCGCATCAGGTTTTTTTTACTGTTAACATCCACAAAGTGTTTTAGGACCCTAAAAGGCAACCAAACAAATTGGTGAAAGTTAGTTTGGGGGGGGGGGGGGGAGGGGGTGCACGGGGGTCCCTCATATACATACTCAACTAATTGGATATGAATGGTGGGGCCTTTCAGACAGTATAACCTATAGAATTTCATGTAACTAGGGATCACACCAAGAGCAAACATGGTGTGCCAACATTTGAAAGCCTGAAATAGGGACACTACTGGATGGCGGTCCAAGGACTTTCAATTTTAAAATGCACATAAACTAAAATGTGTTTTGGTTTTTCATTGTGAAAGTTCCCCACAAATGGCATTCAAAACCTTCCTTTTTTATTATCTGAGAAGTTATTCAGTAAGATGTAAAGTTGGTTACGGGTACTCGACCCCATAATCTGGAGAGGGAGAGTTGGGGGAGACCATAGTTTGGTTCCCCGACCAAAAGATTCTGACTTTTGTTTCTGACAGATCTTAGATTCATCAGCAATAGATCTTTTGGTGTGGGAACCAGACTATGGAGCCCATCGGGAGATGCACCGCCGTGAAGATGCTATGGCTTTGTGTGCATTTAGAATTAGAAATACGTACTTCGTGTTATATGCACGGGAACCAGCAGGCACACGCGGCGTGTCCCGTCCATGGGGCTCTCAAACGTGGTAAAAAAACCCATACACACCTCTTAAATTGTCCATTATTTGGGAGTGTCCCTGCCGCAGCTTAGCCATGGACCTCAGGCAGGCCCTGAATGTGTTGACATCCCATCGGGACATCCATCTCAACTCCTCCAGGCCCAGTTGCTCCTTAAGACTGTCATTGAGACGCTCTGTCTCCTGCCGGATTGGGAGACTGGACTCAAGATTTCTCCTAGCTATTGGGACATTTGTCCTCAACCAGTTTCTAAAGGATGAAAAAAATTCAAAAGTTGTTGAGAAAAAAAGGAGATTCTATATGACAGAGTTTAAGAAACTTTGGTAAAAATCTTTAAAGAATGAACTCGACTTTAGCAGAAAGTGCCCATAAAACTGAGCCCACATTCCCCCCCCCCCCATTCAAACCTTTAAAGCCTTAAACACTCACAAGTTTCTTCCACTTCCCTTGCTATGCATTTGAATACAGGCTAGTAAAAAAAGCCAGTCAGATCACAATCATGTAAACACTGTGACTGGTCAAATTCCATCAAAACCGGTAGGCACAGCTAGCATATCAATCACCTCCAGTCAAAGCATGGCAACATCAAAGTAACAAGGGAATTCTTAACTGTTCAAAACACTTGATTGGTTTTGACTGCTGTGATGGCACAGCTGAAAACTGCCTGCCAAAGAGGGAGGGTTTTATAAAGGCATGTCTGGTATAAATCAGAAAAATGAAATCCCACCTTAAAGAATCTTTAGCTGGCTGGCGTTTGGCTTTCACCTCTGCATACGGGTCGGTCTTGCCGGTGTAGGCATAGTAGGAGTGGTGCCACTCTATGGGTCTGGGGAAGGGAAGGGGTCGACTGGCTGAGATCTCTTGCAGGTTGTTGGTGGGCAGGCTGCATGTCTCTAGGAGGTTGTTGACTGTGGTGTAGATGTCTCTGTTCAGCAGGCTGACTGTGACTGACCGGAAGACAGAGTGACCTATGTGAACAAAAAGTTAGACCGAGCTTGTGTTGAACACCCTGGTTATAAGCATGCAAGGCAAAGTCTGGGATTGTGAAAGATTTTACATGATTGAGAAAGATACCAACATTTAGGGGGCTTTAAGATATAGTCCATCATTTGTAATTTGTGCATTTTGTTTGTTTGAAGCAACAAAAGTGTTCAAAATCTAATGAAGGATACTGAACAACTAACCTAATGAAGTTACAGCTCAGCTTCCACTGTATATTCCGAGAAAAACAGCATTCTAGGGCCTGAATTCAGTGTCCGAGACACGTTCTCACTATGCCGATTGTAGCTATACGCGATGTCGCGCACTGATCCGACGAATTATAGCAACCGCACGCGCGGGTGCGTCATGCCAATGCTTGCGCGCGCTTCGCCGAATAACAAAACAAACTACTAATTTAAATTTTCCTACGGTGCGTCTTAAGATGCACCATTGGAAAGGCCTTCTTTTGTTGATTACTTCAAAATGACAGCTTGCCAGAAAGAATAATTTCACAGGGCGTTTAGTCCCCTTACTATCTTTCAACCAAGTATGTTTTTCAACAATAATTACGCCAGTTACTTTTCGGATGGCTGCAAATGATGGACTATAGCTTTAATGCCCTTTGACACTGAGCTCGAGGGAAACAAGCTACTGTCGGCAATGAGGGACAGAGTATGCTGGCGAACGGACTTTGTGAATACTCTACCAACGCCTCAAGGCATTGGATGACTCAAGAGAGAGAGAGAATGCCCTTTGAATGCTGTAGTACAAGATATTTCCCATGGTTTTCCTAAAAAGTGGTTGATTTTAAGATTCAGGAAAGTTTCTATACCTATGACATCCTGACCGAATCAATCTTTTAAGTTAGCAGATTGGAAGAAATTTCACTGGAGAAGATAAACTGTACATAGTTTCGGTGGAAACTTTAATATGGGAACATGTTGCCTTTTACGAATGCAAGAAAATGCAAAATATCAGAATATAAAACGGTGTACTGATGGTTGTAATATTTCTGCTACCTTGATGAATAAACAGAGGCTTTTTGGAAAAATACAATTGACATTTTTGGGTTTTGGGTCCCCCCCCCCCCATAGAAGATTTCTGTCATCAATGAATTGCAGAACAGAATTTTAGATAAAGAAACCCTCGTGATGATGAGCTAGATATCTATTGGACTAGATTTTCATGACATGTTTTGATTACAACCAAAAAATGCGTTGTTGGGGCAAGTTGGCACATGCGCGGACAAAAGTTCGATTTGGCTTATTGCACACTGCACAACATCAGACAAAATTATATCAAAAAGTGTTAGGTACTGTTCATATTATTATTCCACATACCTTTTTGAAAACAATTGGCCATTTGGAATAATCATACACAATAATTCATATACATTTCGGCGATGTCTAATGTTGAAATGACAACAATCACTTGTTTCCCAAATTACAGGCCGGTTCATTGTCATACGGTTCATGCAAATTGCGAAACATTTTGACATCTGGAAAAACTTGCTGCGAAATTCGCCAGAGTTGAAATGTATTCAACTTTTGCAGATCTGCAGCACGATAAGTTGCCATGATGTCATAAATATATAGTTCGTCCTTCGAAATTCGAATATGACAGCCAACATCTCCATACTAGTTGGTGTTGTGTGTTCGCAGATGGCTAATAAGTCCAATTCTAGCCAGGAAGCTACAGTCCTACACTGGACACACTAGGTTGGGGGTGGGGGTGGACACGTAGGGAAGCATCTAGCTGACGAGATTTTTGTTGCTGTCGTTTCAGCTCAGCCTCCCTGATGCGACGGGCTTCGAAGCTTGATGCACCTTCGTGTGATAATCTTCTCCATGCCGTTCGATCATGGGCATGTTCTTCCCAGCTACTCACATTGAAGTTGCATTGCTTCATGGTTGCTTTAAGGCAATCCTTGTATCTCTTGAATTGACCACCAGCCGATCTTTTGCCTGTTGTTAGTTCACCGTAGAAGATCTTTTTGGGGAGTCGATCATCAGGCATGCGTACTACATGACCTGACCAGCGAAGTTGAGCTCTCATGATCAAAGCACCTACACTGGGCAATTCCGCTCGCTTGAGGACTTCAGTGTCTGGGACCTTGTCTTGCCATCTGATGCGCAAGATCTTACGCATGCAGGAAAGGTGGAAGAGGTTCAGCTTTCTGATGTGGCGGCTGTAGGTTGTCCAAGTTTCACAGGCATACAGCAGGGAAGTCAGGACTGCAGCTTGATACACACGCAGCTTTGTTTTCAAGCTTATGCCTCTCCTATTCCACAGACGCTCACGAAATCTTCCGAAAGCTGAGCTGGCTTTGGATATCCTATTTGTGATTTCCTGGTTTATGTGGACCTCTCTTGACAGGGTGCTGCCCAAGTATGTAAACTTGTCAACAGAATGAAGGATGTGATCTCCAATGGTGATAACGGGTGGAACATATGGCTTACTTGGAGCAGGTTGAAACATCACTTCTGTCTTTTTCAGATTGATTGAAAGTCCAAAGCGTGAGCAAGCTGTTGCGAAGCAGTCCATGATGAGTTGTAAGTCTTCCTGGGTGTGGGCGACAAGAGCACAGTCATCGGCATATAGGAGTTCACGAACTAATTCATCGAATACCTTTGTTTTTGCTTGAAGTCTTCTCAGATTGAAGAGTTTACCATCAGTCCTGAATCTCATCTTCACGCCGATGTTGATGTCACGGAAAGCATCAAGGAGCATGCTAGCAAACACGACACTGAAGAGCGTTGGTGCAAGGACACAGCCTTGTTTAACTCCATTTGATACTGGGAAGTGTGAGCTAGGGTACTTGTTCTACATAACCCCCCAAGGACAGACACACAAAGGGAACAACAGATCCTTTCAGTCCTCGGGAGTTGGGTCTTTTGTTCAAAATGGTCCTGTGTAGTAGGTTTGTGTGCTTAGTCTATGGGAGAGTGTTATATTACACGGACAAAGGAAAACACAAAGCATTGTCCTTTGGAGTATAGTAAAACAAGAGTGCGTGTTCGTGTTCACACCAAGTAGGAACCAGCCTGTGTTTTACCTTGCTGGGAGGACCGTTCTCTTCGGCTGTTGCGCAGGTAGAACGTCAGATCCTTGGGTGTCACCCGTGCCGATTCATCTCGGATAGTCTCCAGGTGTGCATACAGCTGCTTCAGAGAATGCTCATTCACAGCCTTCAAGTAGAAAATCAAGATCAGAATTATTGACGATCTCTATAGACTCATTGCACAAGTACTCCCTCAACGGTTACAGAGGGAGAGTTGTGGAGGACAACTGGGAGGGACATTTGAATGCATTGCTTACAGCACCTTGTGTTCACGCAGTAGGGCTGTCCATTTTCGAATAATTTAGTATTAAATTAATCGAAACTGCGTCGGACTCCGCCAGTAAAAAGTTGCATGAAGAGTGTGACAGTTAAAATGTGCATTTGCACCCTTTACGCCAAAAATTGTGTCGTGAAACTATGCAAAAACAATCCTTCATGACTATTACTTCTGGTGACAATTTACATAGTGATGTCCCAAAGTCAATAAAACAGAGTAATTTGTACTTTTTTAAAAACTTGTCACTCATTGTACTGAACTGTACCACTGCAACTTTTGCAATGTAATTGGGCGTGATCTAATATGCAAATTAGACGCGTGGGCATCAGAACAGCTTTTCCAAATAAAGTCACTTGCAAAGCTGTGATACACACATGGCATAGAAACAGTGTAATATACCCCGACAAAATGGGCCGAGTAAACTGTTCACCAACCCACCCACCCACAAAACCACCAACATAGCGAGCACAGGCCCACGGCACATTTTCACGCTGCCGTGGGAAAAAGGCTCTCATAAAACGACTCCTTGGCACTGTCTCTATCCTTCAACAAGACTAATGCTTTGCATTTCTATTGGAGGTTAAACAGATGCACAGAGTCTTGAACCTACATGAAGATTCAGTGAATGTCACTGAGTGACTTACTCGTTCCTTGGGATGCTGGCCAAAGAAATCAGGATGGACTGCAAAGATGAATGGTCTCAATACCTCTGCTGTCTGTGAACTGCTCAGAAAACTGCACTGGAAGTTCAGCGGCAGATGAAGAAATGAACTCCTATTGGGTTAAGAGGAACATGTACCAAGCACTTGAAGACTTATTATTCAGAAATATTAGTGGCTACCATTGCAGCAAATGTAATGAAATTTTCAATTGCTATTGTTAAGGCATTGCACACACAAACACAAAAAAGAGAATCTATTTCACATTTCTAACTGCCCTTCCGAGCAAGGCTTTTCCTTTGGTAGCTTGATTGGCTAAACGTTTGATTACCAGGCCAAAAGTCCCGGGATCAAATCCACGCTGTGAAAATATTATAATTTGTTTTGTTCTCTTTGCTGTTATATTTTTGATCAAATTCAACTTTTTATTGAAGTAAAGTTTTTTTTTTTTTGCAGTAATCTGTGGCTTTGGACTTATTACCGTGAAACACCTTATTCTATTTTTAAGTAGGCCTGATACTACTTTGAAGGTTTTTTGTAATTTTTAAATTCACAATTGCTGCTTTAACTGTTCCGAGCCCACCTCCTCAACACCCTTCCACCCCAAACACCAGGGTGACCGTTTTAGGCAAATTTCGGTTAAAATTGACAGAATGTTTGAAAAATAATGAGTCTGACAGAAAATTTGGCGATCGTGTAGTGTGGGGCCCCTGTTTTGTTTGGATCAAAATAGAATCAAATTTTTTTTTATTTCAAAAAAATGACATTGTCAACCTAAAGCAGAATTCTCTCAATGTTTTGACACCTTTTTAGTAATTTTTGAACAATTTCTTGGGGTAGAAATTACGATTTTCATATCTTTTTATTTTATTTTAGATATCTATATATATTCTTTTTTACTTTGCAGATTATTTTGCATGAATGTGCGATAAGTGGTTTTAATGCTCTCTCCACTCATTAGTTAGTTTTTTACTCATAGTCATACTGTATCGTCAGACCTAAAGCTACGCGCTCCTATTTCTGCGCACTCGCATTTGGGTTACATTTTGCAGGGCGTGCATCCTAAAAAATGACATACTTTCACTGGGATCATATCCTTTGATGCACAAACTTTAACCAACAGCCGAAAAAAATGAGGAAATTAAAGGCTTTACCTAGAATTCAGGCAAAAAATTAAAAACATCGGCATTTTACAGCTAATTACTAAGTACAAATGCAGGCAGATGCTTCCGGGCCTGCAGAAGTCGAAAATATGCCTGAAAGGTGACTTTTTTTGGTCTCCCAATATCGTCAGTATTATAGTTACGATGTCATAGATAAGAGTTTCTACACTGAAAAGACATATTTTTTTATAATATTTTGGAACTTTTTTTGGTCATAAGTTTTAAAATCCGATATCTTAAAAACTGTCTCTGTTGATTGCGATTATCAATAACAACATCATTGGGATCTACATTTAATAGGTAAATATGTATAAAATCTATTTATGTAAATATAGGCCTTTGTATAAAGGTCCAAAATAGGATATTGAAAATAATCTTGAAATTACGAAAAGTGTAGGCCTATATTGGCATTGAAAAAAAAAAAAAGGAAAAAGAAAGAAAATATGTTTGGAAAGCTCAGGAAATATATTTTCCTAAAGCCAACAAGGCTAAGTTATTTTTAAAAAAATTAAGAACGCGAGTTTAAACTTGCGCACTGCATAGATTTCCCGGCCACGCATACAGAGCCGCTAAACTATTTTTTTTCCCCGATATACTCAAGCAGATATGTAACATTATTTTTAAAGCAGATTTTTTCCCTCCGATTTAATAGCATCACTGAGCTTCGGGACTCGGAAGACAATGCCTTAATGCCTTTTTTTGAAACATTTTATTAACGGTATTATGCTAACGATGTTGACTGTGTAGAGGTTCAGAGATGGGGTTGTTAATGCGAACAGTTTATGCACTTTGTATCAGGATGTCTATTTATATTGTTTATGGCTCATTAGGATTTTCGTTTAATAAACAACATATTTATTCATTAAGTCGAATTAATTAATTAAATTAATGAATTAAATTCATTAATTAAATCATTTGCAAATTTATTTACTTTTTAAAATAATTAAGAACCCTAACCGCCCTGAATCCTCCAAAATCCTTTTTGCAAATTGAAGGAATTTGCAGGATTGAGGTTACATGGCAAAAGTGTGTTGCTGATTTCGGAGTACGTACTGTGTCAAGGTCTTAGGCCGGACCTTGTGTTGTTTATGCTCATCCGTGCATAAATTTAGTCCTTGATTATACTTGACAACCTCCGTACTGCTCCAGGATGTCACTGCCTCTGCCTCAGCCTACTGACAGTCATAGCCGGAGGATTTTGCAGGATTCAGGCAGTGGTCACCCCTCCATGGACCATATTCAAGAAATAACGGAGGAATTTGCAGGATTGAGGCTATATGCTATTTTTCCATGGGGCCAATTGGAGGATTTTGCAGGATTGAGGCTACATCCTAGCAAAAAGGCCTAGGGAGTTAAGGATTACCATTTTATATGCATAGCGTTTTAAGTTGTAAACATTAGTATGAATTTTTGAGCCTGCAATAAAATAATTGTTTAATTAATTAATTAAATTAGTAATGCGTTCATTATTTATTTTTTTTAATTATGCATTTTTGAAGTGTACACATCGCTCGAAATGTTATGCAAGTATTTCTAAAAACAATATGAATTACTGTACCGTCCAATTTATTAATTGCTAAATTAATTAGTATTTTTTTCAGAATAAGCGCTTTTCTAATTGTAGAGTACATGTAATGCAATTTAAAGCATTTTAAAAATAATGTAATGATTACTATAACGTCAAAACTTGAACAATTGAAGGGATCATAATCATTCTTTGTACGTTAACAGCGGGTTACACCAAGGAAATTACGATTTTTTATTTACATTCAAGAGTATAAATAAAATGCTAATTAGGTTTACAAAGCAAAAAATTTGAAGCTGGTCTCCATTATTGAACAACCGTTCAGTACACTTTCCAAGCAATCGCTGCTAGTGATTGCTTGCCCGGTTCCCTCCCCTCTCCCCCGCCCCCTAAAAAAACTTCTCTGATAAGCACTAATGTTAAATCTCAATGTTTCTTTTCATTGACGCTAATTGAATTCCCCTTTTTATTTATTTCTTTGTTCATTCAGTTATTCCATTATTTCTCCACGCACTCGTGTTTTGAACATTTTTTTCTTCATCAATGAAAATCCCGCCCGCAAGGTTCTCAAATTGCGATCGCCTTTGCGCAAGTTTAAACTTGCGCATGCAAATTAAAATGGCGCAGTGATATTTGCGTGCTTCTGGAGTCCCGCACACAAGTTTAAACTTGTGCGCGCAGCCGCGCAAGTTTAACTTTGCGCGGGGGGCTCAAATTGCGCTCGACATCTACTTTTGTAATTCTATTTTCTATAATAAGTTTGTCTAATTTTATTTCCATGTGATTTAAATATGAGGGCTCCTTTGGAAAGCAGTTTTCTTAAACTGAAATGGACTACCCTCGTTAAAGATTGCAATAAATAAACAAATAAAACACCCGGTACCCCCCCCCCCCCCGGCCCCCCTAATCCCCCCCCCCCCCCCCCCCCCCGCCCCCACAATGAATCATCAAATCTTCGGTGGGTGGACCGTGGACGGACCCATGGAGGCCGCTCGGCTAACCTATTGCTTACCTGCTTGATGTTGATCGAAATAGTCTGACGGTCCACATGTCCTCACTCAAATAGTCTGACGGTCCACATGTCCTCACTCAAATGCTACATTATGGTTGACATTCGTGACTTACGAATAATGCACTTTGTATTCATTTTCGAATCCTGACACATCGACCTACATTACGACTTCGTACCCGTACGCGACGCCAGCTTATAGAGTGAGCCCTCTATTGGCGGTCTGAAGTTCTGGCCGCGTCTAGTTTAAAAAACTGTAATGGTACAATTTGTTGATTTTACCCACCAAAAAGTATATACTGTTTGCTTGCGAAGTGCATGATTGGTATAACTCCTGAACATCACTCTAAAAATAGAAATTGTCGATAGTTCACACAGATTTTAAGTTTGTTCTCCTGGGTATGTGGCCAGAGCTTACAAAATGATTCATTGCATAGTTGGCATGAGGGTTTTAACAGTTGGGGCGAGGAACCTCAAGTAGATTTAATGCTGTAACCATGGAGGAAGAAGAACTCTGTGCTGTAACTTACAAATCTCCCTTAAACGAGAGAAACAAATATTTACTGTAGAATACTTTGATATAAATGTAACGGGTATGGTTTTTGGAACAGATGGCATGCGCCTTACTGTATGTATGGTACCTCTATCATGGAAGTGAGTGAGCATTGCAAGTTGCAACTTAACACTTTCTTTGTTTCGATCAAAAGCCATTTTTTCCCCTCTAAACATGTCAATCCAACATCTTCTTTTCCGTGCAGTGGAGAAAACTCCAAATTTAAAATGCATTATTTTTCCTTCTGATGTATTAGAAAAAACAGGATGAGATGGCGGTAAATATCTATTTTTTTTTTTAAAGATGGACAAAGTAGTTATCAGCTGAATTGAAACCCCCCCCCAAAAAAAAAACTGCAAAAAAACAAACATCCCAGCAAACAAACAAACAAATAAACCCAAACCAGCCTTAGAAATTGATTGCATGTAACATTTATTTCTGTTTCAAAAGAAATAAGGCAAATGCCAATAGAACAAGTCAAGCAAAAAAAAAGAAAAAAAAGAATCTTCCATTGTTAATACATCAAGTGGAGAAAACAAGAGCAAAAGGTCCATAGATCATTAACCTCATTGTTTAAAAGTAACAGGAACTTCAAAATTCCCTCGCTTTTATTTGATTAATTAGAGGCGCAGCTCCACTCGCCCAACTTTTTGGCCTTTCCACACCCCACACACAAAAAAAGTTCACGTACAAGTGAAACTAACATCTTTATGTTGGGGAATTAACTGAAGGAATGCCTGGCCCAACACTGAATTTTCTAGACATAAGCGCCTCAAGGTTGCATTACATGTAAATCATCAAGAAAGATTTTGTGATGCCCATGGCAAAATCGGGCTGTTTCCAGCATTGGAAAAATCACAATCAATTGATGGAGATAAATGTTTAAGACCTCGACCTCGGATGGGACGTAAAGCCGTAGGTCCCGTGTGTTGTGTAATGCAATGCACGTATAAGAACCCAGTGACACTTATCGCTTAGAGAAGGGATTTGCCCTGGTGCTTCTGGCCTCCTGTTAAAACTCCCACACTGAGTATTTAGGAGAAGAACCAACCTAGAAGCAATCATTGCTAATTACGCACGTCATCACCATCAGCGATTATTTTCTTTGGAATGATACAATTTCAGGCGGAATAACTTCACAGTGCATTTGGCACCATCCCTATCTTCATTTTGAGCAAGGTATTTTCATTATCGGTAAATGTAACTCCGGGTAATTACCAATGTTCCCATATACCTTTAAAGGTAGAGTAGATCATATGCAGCTATCCAAAAAGTAACTTACCAAATTATTAAACAACTTACTTGGTTTAAAGATAGTAATGGCACTTAACTCACTGTGAAATTATTCCTTCTGGTATGCTGTCATTTTGAAGAAAATAAACGGTCATTCCAAAGATGTGTCAAGTGACACATTTTAGAAAATATCCATTAGTAGTAGGTTTGTAATTGGGCGAATCAGTGAATGGGTGCGCACAAGCATAGACACGACACACACGCATGCACGGTTGCTATTATTTGTCGGTGCAGTGCGTGACATCGCGTAGCCGTAATCGGCCAAATGAAAATCGAGATCCTAGAATATTGTTTTCTCAAAACATACAGCATTCACAGAGCTAAAACTTCATCAGGTTAGTTGTTAAGCACCTGTTTTTAGATTATGAGCACTTTTGTTGCTTCAAACGAAACAATGCACAAATGATCTACTCTACAGGTACATATGTACCTTTAAAGGAATGCTTCAGATTCACTCGGCTACTGCAGACCCTTTGCATGCAGCAGAAAATCTTTGAGGTACTTTTAATATTTTATCCGTAACAACAAATGCACAAGGAGCATACTCGTGTATTCAGGTGGAACAAAGGTACACACCTCACAGATGGCTGCAACGCAAAGAATCTATTGGACCAATGAGTGCTAGGCAAAAAAAACCCAAATAGTTCTGCTTCTGATTACATGGCATTTGAAAAAATGAAGGTAGGTTGGGGTATTTTTTTTGGGGGGGGGGGGCTTTTTTGTGTGTGTTGATCATATGTCGGTGTCTGCGTGTAGTCAAGGGTAAAAGGTAGTAATTGAAGGTTTGGGTCCCCCCCCCCCTCATTCCCCCCCCCAAAAAAATAAAATAGGGTAGGTAGGGGCTGTCAAAATAGGGTAGGTAAGGTAACCGGAAGCATTTTTTTTTGGCCTAAGCAGTAGCATATTTCTATTGTCTGATGCAACCAAAATGAAAAATACCCAAATTACAAGAAAGTGGTTATTTACAATTATTAAAAAAAACATGTTAATCTTTAAAATATTCATCTTGTTTTACTGAAAGCTGTCTTTACTCTAGCTTTCTTATTTTATGATAAACACAAGGCAATGAGCATTCTTCAAGACTGAGAACAGGGAAATCTATATTGTAAAAATTTAAAAGCATCTCTTATTCACATGACCATTTGTAATGTTTCTGTTAAACCTTCAAATGGTGAACGTTCAAATTTTGAGGGGAAAAAAAGACCATTATTAAACTTGGTGTTTCTTCACTGGAGCAGCAGTTTCCACCCAAAAAATCAACAATGTTTGATGTTGTGTTAGAAAACTGAAAGAAAAAAACCAGCCCATCACAACTGCTCATCTCTGATTTTTGTGTGGCATAAAAATTTAAATATGAATTTTTTTTCACCATGCGAAGGGTTTTTATCATCGCATTTGTGAATTAATTTGAAACCATATACACTACTTACAATAATCTTACATGTACTGATCATACCAACACGAATAACCCTAACCCTGCCAGATGTAGTACAGTGCAACAGGTGTACAGTCTGCGGGACCTTGCTGCACTGAGCCATCAACACCAGTGCATAAACTGCCAATAATGAAAAGCCAAAAGAGCTAGTCCCATTGAAAAATGTCACAGTTGGATCCTGCAGCATTTGGTGACCACAGACTCTGAGGCAGTTCAGCCCTGTGATTTTTAACCTGATGGATCTTGCTTCACTGAGCATGCTTGTCATTGTGACAAGTGTTGAATGTTGCTGCATTTAGCAGGGTTTGTAGCCAAATTACCCAAGGTTAGGGTTAAACACCTCAAGGCCAATTTCATAGAGCAGCTTCAGCACAAATTTTGCCTACATGTAAGCAAAAAACAAGTCAGGTGTGTTTACAAACACAAATGCTCCGCAACCGTGACTGTTTCCATGACATAACACCACTCTAACATCAACTTACATGTACCTTGGTCAAATGGAACGTTCATTGACAGCATTAGTGTCTTCTGTAGGTTTTATATGAATTAATCCCTAATCCCTATGATCTCAGAATAAATACAAGATTTCTATTGTTTTAGCCACTGTGACCTTGACCCTTGACCTTTCGACCCCCAATGCGATAGGCTCCTTAGGATTGCCAAGGACAATCCACAAACCAAATTTGAAGTTCATATGTAAAGTATATCTCAAGTTATCATGCTGACAAAATTTCTTTTGTTTTTGCCACTGTGACCTTGACCCTTGACCTTTTGGCCCCAAATGCAAAAGGCTTCTTAGGATTGCCAAGGACAATCCACAAACCAAATTTGAAGTTCATATGTAAAGTATATCTCAAGTTATCGCGCTGACAAAATTTCTTTTGTTTTAGTCACTGTGACCTTGACCCTTGACCTTTTGGCCCCAAATGCAAAAGGCTTCTTAGAATTGCCAAGGACAATCCACAAACCAAATTTGAAGTTCATATGTAAAGTATTTCTCAAGTTATCGCGCTGACAAAATTTCTATTGTTTCAGCCACTGTGACTTTGACCCTTGACCTTTCGGCCCCAAATGCAAAAGGCTTCTTAGGATTACCAAGGACAATCCACAAACCAAATTTGAAGTTCATATGTTAAGTATTTCTCAAGTTATCGCGCTGACAAAATTTCTTTTGTTTTAGTCACTGTGACCTTGACTCTTGACCTTTCGGCCCCAAATGCAAAAGGCTTCTTGGGATTACCAAGAACAATACACAAACCAAATTTGAAGTTCATATGTAAAGTATTTCTCAAGTTATCGCGCTGACAAAATTTCTTTTGTTTTAGTCACTGTGACCTTGACCCTTCGGCCCCAAATGCAAAAGGGTTGTTAGGATTACCAAGAACAATACACAAACCAAATTTGAAGTTCATATGTTAAGTATTTCTCAAGTTATCGCGCTGACAAGATTTGTCCGGACACACACACACACCCACCCACCCACCCACGGAAGGACAAGGCGGAAACAGTATGCCCCTTCGGCTTCGCCGCGGGGCATAAAAATATGCTTATTATAATCAGGTTACTGGCCCAAATGCCATGTGATATACATTGCTTGCGACTGGTATTTAGCCGTTGTTTACTTAGCACAACAATCACTTGGAGTTTTGGCGGTTTTGGTGCTTAAACAAATTTTGTGCGAAAACTTCACATTGAAATTTTCTGGAACTATGGAAAAGGAGTAAACCTTCACACCCAGTTTTCACCAAGTCAAGAAGAAAATGTCTTACAACTAAAATCAACATTAATGTGTGAAAAAAAAGCAATTTTTTTTACCAAACACAACTTGAATAAGTCCATTTAAATTCCGATTTTTTTTTTAATTCAAATCTTGTACATGTAGCTTGTACAGATGACAACATTTGCGCCTAAACACCTTGCAAGTCTTTCTAGTTTCTCTCTTGTTTAAAAATAGTTTCTTTGGCTGAGCAAAATGGTCCCTGCTTGAGTAAAGCAGTTTCCATCATGGGCTAGTTTTGCCTCAAGAACTAGTTCGTTAACTTCAATACCTAGGAGAACTTCGATACTTCAAAGGAGAGCTTTCTAGCCACCCTCAAACCACATTATAATAAGGGCGAGTAACACAAAAAAATACCAGTTGATCGTCTGGTCTGGGTTTTCAAAAACAGAGGATAAATAAGGGGGCCTTCGTATCTTCCCTTTTTTTCCCACAAGAGGACTGCCGGTAGATTTGATATTAAAAATGGCCGACAACTTTTCAGTTCAAAATGACTGCCAGCTTTTTATCATGTATTCTACCAATAAGCCACACATGTTCTATTGTACTGAAACAAAACTAACAATGATCACCACTCAGGTAATTATTGTCTCAGTGGTTGATACATGTAATATCGAATACATGTAAACAATTTTGTTTTCGTGTTTGGTGGATCGAAAAGCTCAATCACCTTTTTAACACACAATGGGTAAAATATTAGGATAAAATATAGGGTATATTTAGGGTAAAATAGAGAGGATGTGGCTTCAAAGAACAATGTGGGCAGGGACGATCAACTGGTGTTTTTTTGGCTTGGCCTTATGTTTTCCTACGCCTGATTTGTTGACGTTTCAACCTCCATATCTGCCTCCTGTGATACTGTGCCCTCATCCATGCCTTCTCCAGACACGCTAAGCTCAATATTCTGTGAGATGTCTTGTAAGGTTTCATCCATATTGGGTGCAACTGTGACAACGGTGACGGTCATGGTACCTTCCTCATTCTGGATAATCTGCAGTGTCTCATCTCCCGAGCTGCGTTGCATGGCATTGCGGATGGCCTCTGCATCAGCTTCTGTCAGCTCCAAGGTGTTGCCATGCTCGTCCACAATTTGGTACTGCTCTTCAAGCTCTTGTTGATTGGTCAGCTTCTTCGGGGCGGCATTAGCTGCTGCTGCCGCACGTTCGTCCGATAAGTCTCCGAACATATTGATGCCATGCATCTGGAAGAGGTGACTGAGGAGGCCGGCCTTGCCTTTGTAGGTGTTCTTGCAGGCGTTGCATCTGAGTGGAGTGTGCTTGTTGTGCACACTCATGTGGATGATAAGCTTGTCCTTGAACTTAGACGAGAAGGCGCACTCCAGGCACTGGTAGCGGTACATGTCATCGTGGGTCTTCTCATGCTGCAGCAGGCTGTAGCGGTCATCGAAGACAGCCTCGCAGAAGGAGCAGGCCAGATTCTCAATGACCTTGCTGTGCATGTAGATGGTGTGGCTCTGGACGTCTGCCAGCAGGTTGAAGAGGGCATCGCAGTGGGGACATTTGTGTCTCGAGTGCAGGACCGAGTGCTTCCACAGATGCTCCTTCAGGCTGCTCTTCTGGGTGAAGCTCTGGTCACACATGGCACACATGAACGGCTTCTCCCCAGTGTGGATGCGCATGTGGCGCTTCATCGCATAACCCGGGAAGGAGGTGAAGTCACACAAGGCACACTTGACTTTCTCCCTGGGCCGCTTCTTTCCCGAGGTTTTTTTGGACTTCTCTCCATTGGCAGGCTGCTTCTCTCCACTGCCAGGCTGCTCCTCTCCATTGGCAGGCTGCTTCTCACTCATTTTGCTTATTCAGATTTCTAAACAGTTGATATGTGTTGCAAGCTGTAGTCACAATTGTCGGAGTATTTCTAGTTTATTGCAAACCAAATGTTGCCAAGCAGTCTGCAGACTTGTGACTGAGGAATGTGGGAAACCTGAAAAAGAAGAGACAAAAAAACCCAAACAATAACAATTTATTCTTCTCATTTAACTTACATGTCCTTAGACCTCCAGTTTTTCTATGGGACAGGGGCGAAGCTATTAACTTTAACTACATTGTACCAGGGCATTTTTGATAGAAATCTTCTTGAATTCTAAAAACATCACTTGATCTCTTCACTTTCAAAGCACATTTTCCTTACCTTGTACTTGCTACCGCGTTACAGAAAAATCTCAAAAGCAGTTTTGTCTCACCTTTTTGGGGGGCTGTTACTGATCTTCATCACTATCACTACTGTTATCACTATCGCCGTCATCAACGTTGCCCCCGGCCCAGCTACCTGTACCATCTGGGTGAAATCTAGCCAAGCCACACAGGATGTTGTTAAAGTACAGTTTCTTTTTCCCCTCCCGCGCCCTGTAGGCCATCCGAGCCAGGTTGACGGGACTCAAAACAGCAGCGGTGGGCTCCTCTGACACCTGCTGCGTGAGAACCTGGCTGACGATCTCCTTGGTAGGCTGGTTGAAGTTTTCAATGGCTTTGGCTTTGATTGCCGCCTTCACAACAGATTTGACCAGGGCCCCGGGCTCTGGGGCATGGGTGTGCTGGTGGGGACCTGGCGTGATAACCCCATCGCACTCCTTGAGGAACACCGGGCAACGCATCTTCTTGCTTCGGACAGTGCACTGCCAGTCCACAGCTTTCTTTCGCACTCTTTTGACGTTGTACATAAAGCCCTGGCTGTCAACGAGTCGTGGGCGACAGCGCTGGGAGGACGACTGAAGAAAACGGTAGCCTGCTGCTTGAGCCTCCTCACTCAACCTGGATGTCTGAGGCTCAGAGGCCAGCAGAGCAACAGGGGGTTCACTTGTATTAGCACCTCCGTCATTAACAATGTCCCAAGCTTGCTCGGCGATGCATTTCTTTTGCTTCCTTTTGGCTTTTGGAGCCTTCTGTGTTTTTGGAACTGTTTCTACTTGGATGCCCCCTTCATGATTGTGTGGCTTCGAGCCGAGGGCAAACTGTTCCTTACACTGTCTAAGGACAGCCGGACATTTGATGGTCGAGTCCCTTAAGATGCACTTCCAGCTGGTGTCTTCGTTCCGGACCCGCTTGATGCTGTAAGTGAATCCATTGCGGTTGTCCACAAGTCGAGGCTTTTGATAATTCACAATGTTCTGTAGCTTAGCCAACTTCTTAGATTTCCTGTACTTGCTATCAGGAATTTCAGCTTTCATGGAAGACAGCATTGCCTTTGTCATCTTGACTGGCTTCTCTGCCTTCTTTGCCTTCTTTGCCTTCTTTGTGGTCTTGGATTTGGCATTTGTACCATCCACGACATCCGTTGTATCTATTTGCGACTCGGCCATGTGAACGTGTGGCTGGGGTCCAGGAATGAACCCGCCCTTTTTCTGTTTGACGGTAGCGCGGCAGGAGATGCTCTTACCTCTTGCTGTACACTGCCAGTCTGTAGCGCCATGTGCTCGTACACGTTTCACGTTGTACACATAACCCAGGGCATCCACAAGCTTCGGTTTGCAGATGCGTTTATACTGCTTTGTAGATCTTTTCCATTTGACCGGAGACAAAGAGGCCTGGCCAGGTACAAATTGGTCGTCTATGATTTCTACATCAACGTTTGATTCTGCTATCTCTATGACTTGCTGTATCAACAGTTCTTGCATGGCAGTTTGCTCCATTTCCGTGGCCATGGTAGGAAACTCAGCACTCTACTTCAAAACAGTTACACCCTGTGGTTTATGACTGTTACGCCAGGCAGGTGCCCACAAATGAAAGACCGAATGTCGAACAGTTGTTTCTGAAAAGAGCAGGAAAAAATAAAAGTGCTAGTCAGAAAGTTTCTTTGGTATTTAAAAAAAAAGGAGACATTTTTACTTAGAAGACACTATTAGAAAAAAACCCACATTATTTTCAAAAAGTTCCAACCTTGCAAATTATGTACTCACATGATTTCTGTGAATTGAACAGATCGAGTAAAGACAAGCAACAGCACCCCACCATGTAATGTATAAAACCATTTGCTGTAAGAGTAATGCTGCAAATTTTGAACAACATTTGATTATCGAATAATATGCACCTAGACTGCAACATTAAGATGAAGATAAAATTTGTTCACTTTTATTTTTCATCGTCACGTGTCATTTTGTCAAAGTACTTAATCAAACTAATTCTTCACTTGATCTTTTCAGAAAAACTGTTCAACAGGAAGCTCCATTTTTCGTCTGTCCTTCACGCTAGTTCAATGAAAATTAAAGATGTGATTTGATCGACGACAAACCAGCACTGGATTTTTCCACGACTGAAACCTTTGGGACTAAAAACTCTTCGATCACCTAGACTTGATACCTGTCCTCTGTGTCTCTTGATGCCTGTGCTGTACCCCATGTCAAACCACATGGGCAAATGACAATCCCCATGGACACTTTTACGGATAAATTAGAGGTTTGCAGTGAAGGTATGCTGCAGTTTACATCCTGCGATACATGCGCTTTGTGCGACGAACAGGAATTTTGTGCAGTGCAAACTGTCCCTGCAAGCAACATAATATACAGTAAACTCTGGCTAAACCAGCACTCTCTGGACCCAAGAATTTGTGACGACTTACGCGAATGCCGATACCTGCTGTAAGTCGTCATTTTGCCGACTTACATGAATGGTCTTTTGCACACATGATTCATTGCACTAATTGGCTTCGATTTACCCTGGATTATCTCCTTAATGCTTGAGTTGAATCCAGCAAATTAATCCTCGAATTGTATCATCACGTTTGGGGTATTGATAGTGGAGATCACGATGCGTACATGCACAGTAACGAATGAAATGCGTGCGTGGTCCGGTATATACCACGCACGCATAGACTGCAGCAGTAGTCATTCAATAAGACGACCCCCAAAATGGACAGAGCGCATGCGTACAGCCTAGAGGGGGTACTGGTATTGATATGCTCACGATGCATATGCGATGTATGCAGTAGGATACTCTTTTCGACACACGAGTACAGGAAGTCGATGCCAATGCGTGATTTGTTGAATGCCGACTTACACAAAGGATTTTGTAATGCTTCTTATGGAAAGGGGACCGAGAGTAACACGACGACTAGAGCGAAATGGCGACTTACATTGTACAAAAACAAAAAATTCAATGGAAATACATTACGGACAATCAGGACTTTAGTCAGACAGCCGACCTGAGCGTCTATGAGCGATTTGGCGAGTTGTATGATGTCGGTTTAGCCTGAGTTTACTGTATACCTTCACTGCACAATTCCGGCCTGGCGGCTATCTGTAAAAGGGTCTATGTCACTTTAAAGAGGACAGGACACCAGATTGAAAGCAAATGGTGATGAGGACCTAGAATACCACCATAATGGCCACAATCGGCAACACCAGTGGGGGGGACACATGACCGCTGGGTCCAGGTTGTCAGGAGGTACCTGTGCATATATGCAGTTATCTTAGATAAACCTAGCCGATATACATGTATGGACTCCCGTCTGTGAACACTGTACAGTGATGAAGTCCAGAAAGCAAACATCTCCAAAACCCTTGGAAAAGAAACAATGCTTCCTGCAATGTAAAAGTTTAATCTTTGGATATATTTCTAAGGACAATGTTGCAGATAATCAAATTATCGGAAAACAATAGTTATTCCGTGTAAAGAAATCTGCCTTCAGAGATGAGTGACGCCATATTGGGAAAATGCAGTCACTCACAGGCTTACCTTTTAACAAACATTGTTTCAACTTCTTGTCAGCAAGCACAATCAACGTTCTCTATTTGGTAAACTTACCGTTGCAACGTCTAAATGAAACAGTTGATTTCAACAACTATGGTCCTTTATCACAAACTGGCCAATGGTTGATTTATCAACATTATTGGAAAGGCGATGTTACAAGGCAATTCAGAATGATGCCACTCCGTTGTGTGTACAAAGTGTGTGATAAAATTGAACGAGCCAAGGTTCTCTTTTTCTATCCCATTCAAAATGCAAATTTGATATACATGTATGCTTCTTCATAGTATTTTTTTGGTACAAAGACTGCCCATTATTGATTGCGCAAATAAAAATATGAGGCGCAAAAAATCGTATTTCCGAACTTCAGAATGGAACGATTCTGTTTGATTCAGTTCGGAAGTGCTATGTTCAGTGAATTATAGTTCGGTTCGGCTCCAGCACTATTTTATAGTTGATGGATTTGTACACAGAGTCGCAGTGATCATCATCTTTATTTTCATGTTGCGTTTAGCATGTTAAGTCGAAAGTCGTCTTCATCATCGTTTTACCACAAAATTTCCCTAAAAAGAAATCAAAACCTTGCCCTCATTCCAACCAAGACACTCCTATTTAGTATTGGTATTTAACATCACAACTAAAAAGCTTTTGAGTAGGGGCCTAGACTGACATTACACAATTGCCTACTTTTCGGTTCCTTGCATTTTTAGATATCGTCAGAACTCCTAACATGACGAGGATATGTTTTGACGCACTCGCATTCAATTTGCGTCAGACTACGCGCGCGCGTTACCCACGTCAATTATGGTGACTCGAGGATAGGCCTAGGCCTATGTACAGTCGTTTTCCTAGTTCCGGATTTTTCCTAGTTCCGGATCGCTTCAAATAAAAACCTACCTCTTTTGGACTAGTCTCCAATAAAAAAAATTCTGACGAAGTGCATTTTGAAAAGGAAAATGTAAGCTTCCTGATACACACAGATCTTTTCGATAAAACTTTTCGAAAAGGAATTTTGGCCAGATTTTCGACTTGCACTTTGACACGTTTGGACCGTTTGTAGAAAATCATGGGAGCTGCGAATCGACGATAAATTTTCTCCTCGGTATTTCTCTCGTACCGTGTGGTTTCGAATATTTTTTTCATTCACTACAGTCGTATATAAACTCTTCCATCGAATGTGTGTTCAATCAAAATAATTTGTAGCGTCTCTAATATTTGAAAATTCGCCAACGAATGACCGTATGCTTTTGCCTAGTTCCGGATCGCGCGTGCACTTACGACCCAACTAAACGCGTGTTAATCGATTTTGTGTGACGTATTCTGTGCCGTGTGCAAGGTTTTCGGTCCGTGCGTGAGTTCGTGCCGTTGTGCTGCCGACAAAAGTTTCAAAATTATTTACGTTAATTCTCTTTTGAAAATTTGCTAGAATTCTCTTGAATAAACTTTTTTGGAAAATTAAATAATACTTTAACAGAAAATGTGTTTGCTTTTGGGTGGGTCTGGCTGAAAAATTGATTTTCTCGCGTGATTTTTTTTTCTTCGCACGAATCAGTTTTAGATCGATTCAGAACTGATTGAACCGATCCGGAACTAGGAAAAGCGGCATCGGTACTTTTGACGTCGTAAAGTCACAATAAAAAGAGCTTAAATATGGGACATTATTTTGTAGTCTCTCCATCACTCAAGGTAAACTTTTAAACCAGTGTCACTTGAATTCGTGGAGTAGTTGGGCCGAAAGCAGCCTGAATCAGTTTGCTATCCGGAACTAGGAAAACGACTGTACTTTTCCCCCCAAGTTTTTGATACAAGGGCGCTGATGCTTTCGAGGTCCCTACAATACGGAAGAAGTCCAGTATTTTAAGCTACATTTTCTGGTGCTAGATTTTGCCACATATGTATTTTGCAATACAAATACGATAGCAGTTGAAAATCCGTGTTGCATGTAATACGGCCGGCTGCCGTAACCAACGATAGCCACTGCCGGAATGCACTGGCCTACTACCACTGTCATGACTGTGTACTAGTAGGCCTACCACTATCGGGTATCGGGCGTTAAAACTCATCATTTTAGCATTTCCTACCTCGTTATAAAGGCCTAACCTCTCTCCTTTACACAAAAATTAGTTAAGTTTTAAACCTAGGCTTTCATATTTTTGCTAAACAAACCTTTTCGGCACTGTTTTGAAGTTTTTCATCGATATATTTTCGTCATCCTGCTCGCCTCGACGTTACCTGTGTCTAGTTCCTGCCCCTTTCTCATCCATCCGCGATACTTTTGTACACTATAAAGCGCGCGTTGCGTCTGTAACCAGCCTACTGGACCGAAAATCACGTGATGTGTGCAAATTAATTGAGGGCGGGATTTCAAACCTCTTTTTGCAAATTATATGAACAAACCATGGAGGTAGAATTAGTATACAGCCAGTGATTCATAAAAATGAACTTTTTCACATGTATTTACAAAGCCAACGATAACCCAAAAAGCTGTATAGTGTTTATGACGGCTTATTTCCATTGGGGTCCTTAAAAAAAAAAAGTGCCCCATTACAAAAAAGATCAATATAATTATACAGGAAAAAGCAAAGAATGGTCATTAAAAACTCAGCTGCTTAAAAATTAGACTGGGAGATGTTCTTTCACTGCCCTTTTTACTCTGATGATGATTGTTGGAACATTCAATGCTATTTATTAGGAAGTAAATTCCATTCATGAATTCCGGTATAAAAAAATTGCTGCTCACCCTTTTTATTCTTGGGAACAACAAAATTAGTTGAACCATATGTGGTGGAATAATTATGCATTTCTGAAACCTTCCTAAATTTATGACAGAGGTAGTCTGGTGCCATTTCATGAACAATTTATTAACATGCTTCAGCTTGAACACGATCATTGACGCCGAGTCATGCGCGGCCCAGCTTGTTCAATTCTATTTGACCAATATGTGCTCTAGAATCCATGTTTAAAATAAACAACACTAATTTGTTTTGAGTAACTTGCAGCCATTTCTTCAATTAAACCGACAACGCCGAGCACCAGGATGAAGAATAGTCAAAATGACATATCAGTGCAGAGCAGAGTGTTTTGGGGGATCTCTTGAAACAGTTAGCATATCTGTTAAGAAATTGCAGTCTAGCACTGGCTTTTTTGATCACATAATTTGCAAAGTTCTCAAAAGTTAGACTCTGATCGAGTGTTATGCCCAGATATTAACTGAATTTGAAGGAGTAACAATCTTTCCATAACGGCACACAGTCAAATTTAACACTGCAGAGTTTCTAATAGACTTAAGTTTTGCCAAGACACAAAGACACGGTGACACATGTTAAAAACTCAATGTACAGAATGGACACACTTTCTGAAAGCTAAAGAATCAGGGGCCGGGGTTGAAGGTGGGCATTAATTTTTTTTAAAGTATCTCACTTGACGCACCCTCATAATAAAGTCAGTCTACCTAAGTTTTAACACTTTGGAATGAGTTCCTGATGGTGAAAATTTAGTGGGACTTCGGGGGGGGGGGGGGGGGTGTAAAACTGCAAAAGACAACAGAAAGGCACTAAAACACAAATGTTTACTGAAAAAAATTAATAAAGGACAAAACACAAGAAAAAAACGATTATGGAAGCTTATTACAGTTTATTCAAATGCCACAGTTAGCAGACCACAGTTTGAATTTGTTTACTTGAAATTTTAAAAAGACGAAATCTGCGGCAACTATCTAAAAAATAATATCTGTGAAGTGCCAAGGAAACTGCAAATACTGTACACATGTACTTGAAAGGTTATGGAATGGCAGTTGATACCCAGTTTTGAAAGGTTGGCACCTAAAACTTGGGGGTGGGGGTTGGGGCGAAGTAACAACCAAAAGTGGAACTCGGATTGTCAAGTACAATTTTTACCACAATCTAAGGAATAACAATCAATGTTCTAAAATAACAGAAAACTTTTTTGTTCGTCCACATATTTCCTTAAGAAAAATCACACAATTAAGGAAACAATCCTTCACGGAGTACATCATAATTATATTTATCCCCTGTGCATTTTACAAGCAGTATATATGTACAATTTCTAGTAATAATGAATCCCCGTTTAAAATAACTCCAGTCCATTACAAGTCCAGTCCCAGAAATTCACAAGTTTGGCCACAAGCAACAGAAGATGAACAATAACAAAGAAATTACTTTGGCAAAGTTAATCTGAATATATTTTGACTTGGGATGGGATGACTGGTGATGAACTTGGGAGAATATTTAAAGACTTGTAATGAGCTCAAAGAGCCTGTTTGTTTTGTACCAGATCCTGATCTGCGATCCGCTCCTTTGCTTTACACCGGACCACAGATCTTAGGGATTCTTCCTGAGACTGTGTGGATCAGCGGAAGTTTCAAAATGTTAACAATCGAAATGACATGCGTTAACTGTGTCCGTGTTCACTTTTTGCTTTGGATGAGGCCCAGTATTGTTATAGCACAGCACTGGTTCTAAGGATCTGGATTTGCTTCTGTACCGAAACAAACGCGCTCAAATACAACACTAAACTCATTCAAAAACCAAAAGTACAATGTGGGATATAATTTGCAGGCGGTGCACTAACACTAAGAGGATATTATCTGTGTCAGTTTTGTGCAAATACTGAAAATCTATTTACAATTCTTTTAAAATAAGCAAAACTGTTCTAGAATTTAACATTTATCGGGAAGGTGTGTGACATCATGATCAGGAGCATCATCAGGAAGGCGGCGATAGGTAAACCAGCGTGACAAAGAACAGGTTCACAAGCATTGAATTATAGCAGGATTCAAATGATTCCAATCAAAATCTTAGCACAAGGACACATGATGACTGAACCCTAATGCGTCGAGCGGAGAATTATACTCAGCAAGTCAGCAGGCATGCAACTGAAAATTCTGAGGGAAAAAAACAGGAAATTCCAAACCACACAAGCTTTTGTACAGTATTTTTCAATTTGTAATGGCATTCATGAGAAGAAAAAAACGAGGAAATCAGCAGGTCCGAGGAAGTTTCACGCCTGGACAATGTTTTCATCTTCTTCTTTTTTTGCCATAGCGAGTTTAGTTTCAACAGCAAAAAAAATCCTTTCCATTTTGGGAAATGGATTTCATAGTTTCACTTCCTGATGTCCCTGAAACAAAGTGCATGCACCAACAAGTTCATTAAAATGGCATACAACAGTGATTGGATTTATACACGTACAAAGAATAACTGATAACTATTTTTTGTACTAACTTCTAAATTTACTTCAAATCACTAATTCTAACTAAAGATTTACTTTAATTGGTTAAGAACAGTTTTGTTTTGTCCTGATTCATATGTACAGCTAATGTGACATTAAAAATTCATCAAGAAACACAATTTCTGTTTTTGGATTTAAATGTGTAAACAGTAGTCTGCTGTGAGGCAAAAAATAAAACACCAAAAAAAAACTAAATAATAATGATAAAAACAAAAATTGTATGATATTCATCAAAGCAACTGACCCCAAAATATGCTGGTGATGAAAGGGCAGTCCACAAAGCATGATTGTCGTTGATCAAAGATAAACTACTGGACATGTCCAGCTAATTAGACATCTTGACAAAGTTTGTGCTCCCAACATGCAAACACAAAACAAAAATCTGACATATATATTTCAATTTGGTTACTACATAAAGACTACTTCTGTTACCTGAAACTTTCAGCATCTACTCAAAGTTGTTTCTTTAAGTTGAAGGGTTAACCTCGACCAAATCTTTAAAAAAAAAATGCCATGATGCCAAAAAAAATTATTAGGGAACCAAAAAACTTGCCTGACACAAACAAAAACCTGATGGAAATAAAACATTAAAATGGAAATTAACACTGACATAATGCAGTAAAGCAATGACAAAGGGATTAATCCCTGTAGGACATTTCTATTTACAGAAGACTATGTCCTCTTCACTGCTCTTCAACAAAGAGGTAAATGGTTCCATCATCGGCAACTTCTTCATCATCCTCTTCCTCCTGGTTCTGACTTATGGGCTGATTGGCTGGGACGAGAATGGACTCCGCCTGAGTGATCACATTGGGTTCGCTCTCAGCTTCAGGTTGGGCCTTCTGACCTTCGACCTTTAGCTGTGGTTGGACCATCGTGGGTAGGCCATCATCGGAATCTGTTTCTTGCTCAGCACTGCCTTCTGGTGCCTTTTGTGGAGTCTGCTCCGTCTTTTCTGTTTTCAACTTGACAGGGGTTGTCTCTGCTTGATTCTCTGTGCCCTCCTCTGCTGGTTGACTGGTTCCCTCAGCTTCCTGGGAAGTAGTGGGCTGGTCTTCACCTCCTACTTGCATTAAGACCTGGCTTGGTAGAATGTCTCCGGCCATGCTCGTCTCAGGTTGCTCCTGCTGTTGGACAGTGGTCAAGGATCCATTGACTATTTGGAGATTCTGCTCAAGGTTGGCCACTGTGCCGTCTGGATTCTGAGCGACGGTGAGGACAGTGACTGGACCTCCCTCCTCTCCCTGAATGATCTGTAGCGTGCCGTCTGCTGTGCCTTGCTGCATGGCCGCCTGGATGGCCTCTGCATCCTCCTGAGAAAGCTGCAAGGTGTTGCCATGCTCATCAACTATTTGGTGCTGCTGCTCTGGCAAAGCCATTTTCTGTCGACGGGTAACTTTCTTGCTTGGAGAACCAACCTCTGATGAATCTCGTCTTTTGCGCTTCAAGCCAACTTGAGATGCCTCCTCTGGCTCAGGCTGGATGTCATGCTTCTTCTGCAAGTGATTCACCAGGGTCTGCTTGTGTTTGAAAGTCTCTTGACAATCAGTGCACTGGAATGGGCGTTCCCCAGTGTGGACTCTCATGTGGACCACAAGGTGGCGCTTCTGAGGGGCGGAGTATTCGCATTCCAGACACTGGTAGATCTTCTCGCCCTTGTGCGTTTTCTGATGCTGCATGAAGCTGAAGCGGTCAGTAAAGCCATTCTCGCAGATTTTACAGATGAGGGGCTGACCCTGTGTATGCATCTTGCGGATGTGGGTCTTCATGTCTGCATGTCGGCCGAAGGTGGTGTCGCAGTACTCGCACTTGTGTGCTGGGCGGGAACCAGCATGTTTCCATAGGTGCTCCTTCAGGCTGCTCTTCTGGGAGAAGCTGTGCTCACACTCACCACACTGGAATGGCTTCTCACCTGTGTGGACCCGCATATGACGTTTCAGCTTGTAGTTGTCTGTGCTTGCGTAGTCGCACAGCGTACATCTGTATGGCTTCTCTCCAGTGTGGGACCTCATGTGGCGTTTGATCTTGCTTGCTTCCACGCTGTAATACTCACACAGGGGGCACTTGTGTGGTTTCTCGTGGGTGTGCATGTATTTCATGTGTCGCCCCAGCTCCCCAGACGTTCCAAAGGCCTTCTCACACAACTCGCATTTGTAGGGCTTAGTGCCGCTATGCGTGTTGAGGTGATTCCGCAGAAGTGTTGACGTGCGGAAGATACGGCCGCACTTGTTGCACTCGTGGACTTTCGGCTCCCTGGGACTGGCAGGGGTCTTCTTAGCCCGTCCAAGAACCTGATCAATGAGACGACCATCATCAAATTTGGGGACCATGTATTTCTTGCGCTTCTTGGGGGAGTCCTTATCGTCAAGGCTGGGTTTGGTGACAGGCTCGTCATCGTTGTCTCCCGCGTAGAAGTCATAAACGGAATGATCCTGGATGGTTCGCTCGCCATCTTCGCCTTCTACCACCTCCCGGACGATCACAATCTGGGTGTTCATGGGGACCACCACCTCCTCATGATCCTCTCCCACCACCACTGATTCGCCTTCCACTCCCTCTACATCCACCTGCTGCCGTTTGCGGGGGGACCTGCGGATGGTAATTACTTTCTCCTTGTTTTGGTAGGAGGGTGGGACTGAACCCTCCTGGATAGCTGCTGCATTAGCTACAGCCTGCTCCTCCAACTCTTCCTGGGTGGGCTCCGCAGCTGGGACCTCTCCGGCCTCCTGAACCACCTCGGTACTGCTCTGTGAGACTACTGGCCCTTCTTGTGCAACCACAGTGCCAGCCTGTGAGACCTCGACTCCTGATTGGTCAGCGCCTTCTCCCTGGACAATTGTGTAGACCTGGGTGTTGTTGCTGGTAACCTCAGTGGAAACCGGCTGTTAAAAACAGACAAGGATGCAGTATTATGTTGTTGTTCAAAAAATAATGAAAGTTTAAGCTTCCCTCAAACAAACCTCTGAAAATGTATCTAATTAATGTTAAAGTTTTGGGGCCCTAATTAACTTCCATAAAATACTATTATTATGCCGACTCTGAAATAATTTGGTATGTAATGAATGACCCATAGATATGAAATCACTGCAGTGTCTCAAAATATACGGTAAACAAAAAGACCCCCCCCCCCCCAAGTACCCAAAACAGTTTTCCTACCTGTGTGAATGCAATCTGGGTTCCATCTTGAGAGACAGGAATAAACTGTTGGCCTTGGCTGTTTTCATACACGATGCTGTTGCCAACGACACTCACTGGCTGTCCAGTATTTCCGTCATTTTGCATAGCAACCATCAAAACCTGCAGAATATTCACAGTGAATCACAATCAAAAGTTGGTATTCTAGCATCCTTAAAAGACATACTCGAATCTGGGAAATAACTATTTGGGAACAGTGGAACGTCGCTATACCGAACACCGCTTTACCGAACAACATCCTGGGCTCCCGATTTTTATGTACAAAACCAACCGAACATTGTTGTTAACAAATGTCAACAGAAGAGCAACAAGTGGCTATTATTTCCCCAAGGAATAGAAGGGGAAAGCAACCCATCAATGTAGGTAGTAAGCTCAAAACTATGTACATGTAATGATTCAATAGTCGGCACGTGTTCAAAGTCGCCTTTCAGCAACTACCAGGGCATGCAGGGTGAAGTTATGAAAAGTGTTATTTATTGAAAAGTGAGAACTGTAGCACCGGCAGCTTAAAATCGCTATACCGAACGATCACTATTAAGAATATTTTCTGTGGATCCCACGATGTTCGTTATAGTGGCGTTCCACTGTACTTGACAACATCTTAAACTTCATATAAATCTTCTTTACCAGATATCAAACCATGTTTTTTTATAAACAAACTGCTGGTCACTGCAAATGTAAATTTGGAAGAAGTATGCATATAAAGGAATATAAAGAAACATCAACGCACAATTTCAACTCTTTGGGCAGATAATACAAATGAAAGTATTTTTATCGTCGCAAATGAGTAGCATTGAAATATGCATCAGGTCCTCATGTACTACTTGCCATAGGCGATCTAACTAAAATATTGGGCATGTGCATAAAATGTGTTGGCAAAGACTGCTAACCTGTTGCTGCTGCTGAACCATGTTTCCGTGCTGATCCACATGTTGCACCATGACCATCTGCTCTCCTTCCATGTTTTGAAGACCCTCAATTCCTGCAACAATACAATACACAAACAACTTTATGATTCCGTCCTCAACATCTGGAAGAGACGAATTAAAATGAAATTCAAATGCTCCTGTGACAGGAATTGACCTATCGCTGTTTGCGAGTTAGCCAACCCCCTTAGGCAACCCTATGGAACTTTTGTACACTGAGTTTTGTTTGTCTCAGATTTTGCGCGTTCTGCGTCCATTTGTATATCATGTAATTGGACAATATTTCACAGGTTGCGTTGACGCGATTCTACAGCGATAGGTCAATTGTACTGGGACCACTGTAGAATCCATCAGGAAGGAATTAAATGTAAAGGAGATTTGCGTCACAGAAATTCAATATGTAAGCGCATGATTATTTTTAGGGAAAGGCACACACAATTTGTACATAATAAATAAGAGGAGATGTTTTTAAATGAGTTAAGTTATTCTACACAAAATTGAACCAGGATGCAGAAACAAATAAAAAATGTTACCGTTTCTATTATTGCAATAATACTCGCTAATACGGTTACTGTCATACATCCAACCGAGTCCATCATTTTTTTTAATTGATTGAGCTGATGAAGTGATCCTAGGAATGTTTAGACGTAAACGATTTGCGCATGACCTTAATTGAGCACTAAGATAAGTGGGTGCCAAGATCTTTCGTGAATACCAAATTAAGCGCCCAACTTAAGATAGTAGGGTGCTTAGATTTAAGAGTGACTTAAGTATTGTCTTAAGTTTCAGGCATGCAACTGGAAAGTCACCAAAAAAAAAGAGGAAATTCAAATCTTTCCTAGACTTTGTACACCGTTTTTCTATTTTCAGTGGCACACTTGGAAATAAAAAAAAGTGGAAATCAGCTGATCTGAGGAAAAGTTGCGTGCCTGAAGTTTGAGTTTTGTGAATAGTTTTGTGGGCGCTGTGGTCCAATGGTTACGGTGTTCGACTCGTGTGCCGTGGCACATGGGTTCGAATCCTGACCGTGGGAACATGGTGCTGGTGCTCTTGAGCAAGGCACTTTACCATTATTGCTTCGTCCTTCGGATGGGACGTAAAGTCGTAGGTCCCGTGTGTTGTGTAATGCACGTTAAAGAACCCAGTAACACTTGTCGCTAAGAGAAGGGGTTTACCCCGGTGTTTCTGGCAGTGGCAGCAATATGCGCCGCAGCACCTAGCAAAAAAAAGGTGCTACATAATGGGTCTCACATGTTCATATACTTCATTACCTGTCTTTCGTCTTTCGTCTCATAATTTGCGCCAGGAATGTCATATTGACAGATATGGTGCGGTATAAATGTTCACTATTATTATTATTATTAATACGGCTCCTGTAGTTTACTTTTGAAAGTAGACTAGTGCTCACCTTGTATGGTGATGTTCTGCTGTCCAGCCAGTCCTGCCCCCTCAATACCTTGAATGAAGGCCTGCCCCATGGTGTCTGACGGGTCTGCCACTGTGACCACAGGCTTGCTCTGCTGGGCGCTGACATCTTGGCTCACAACCTGGTCAGAACACAGTCAAGAGATTCATATCAATCTATTTATTCTTTCCGTTCATGCACGGCAACTTTGTCAAAACTGATACCTTCGGCATGCTTTCTATGATGTTATGATTTGTTTTTCTCAATCCTTTAATATCTACAATTTTCACAGTGAATAATGCTATAGACCCCTCTCATAGACAGCCATCTTCGTAGAGAAATGACAACTGCGTATTCAACACTATCAGGTGCATATACGCGCAGTGTCAAACATGTTCCAAACACGCGTGCACGTTGCTTGGAATTTCTACAAAATACAGCTGATGCCGTCACAACAATTTGACTCCCAAAATGCCAATGCATGTGGCAATCTGCAGGCAGTGACGTCTTTTGAGAGAAATCTACAGTCGACTCTCGTTAATACGAGGCCCTTGGGACTTCTGACAATACCGACATAATCGGCCAAGGTTCTGGGGCTGCTGAGGGCCCAAAGTAACATAGGTCCTGATGTGTTTGTATTTGACTAAAAAGACACCCCTTATTTCATGACAAAGAGCATGAGTGAATGACTGTGAAGGGGAAGGCCTTACCGGCTGGGTTGCAATGTTGGCTGATGCATTGGCCAGCAGCTGTAGTGTCTGAGTGATGTCCATGGCTGCAGCATCCTCCCCTGATGTTGTTGACTCCATATGAACCTCTTCGGCACCTGGTTGATTGTAAAATACCAAATAGGACAATCAGTACGACAAGGAAAAAAATTATAACAACTCAAGGGGACTACGCTTCTTAATAATGTAGTTAATATAGACAAGCATTTTTTATCAAAATATGTGATGCGATCGAGCTGTTAAAATGAGTCATTTGTTAAACCTGGCCAATTTTTTTTTTCTACAAATTTGAAAAGAGCACGATTTCAGCATTACTACTGTGAAAACCGCATGCTGATACCATATTTAGTTCAAAAATTATGGAAGTCGGAACACCAAGAGATGTGATGAAGTGATGTGATGAAGTGGCCCTATTTTGGCCTGAATCTCCAAATGAAAGTTCCAGACAGACAACTCATTTAGCTTGATCGCATCACATATGTTTGAATGGGTTTACTCCTAAATGTATCAAAGATGAAACCTAAGTTGTCTATGCAAACTTTTCCTAATGCAGTTGTCTGTACACATGAATAATGCGGCAAAATCAGGGATTTTATTTCAGCTCAAAAAATAGTTACTGACCATGTTGGACAACTTCTACTAGCTGTTGAGGTAGCACCTCCTGGCTCTGGGTTATACTGACTGGTGTCGGCTCCTCAGCTGAAATCTATAATAAGAAATTTAAAAAAAAATAAAAAATTAAGAAATCTTAAAATTATTTCCATGACATTTCCATGACTTTTCTTGTACCATATGAGAGCTTTCCATACATATATAATTTCTGTTGTATTCGGTAGTACTCAGTTCTTTATCCCAAAGTAATGGCTAGGACGATAAGGTTGTGCTTATTGAACATTAGTAAAGCTTTTAGAAGCATCTGAACTTCTGAAACATCTTTTTAAAAATGTTATGCCTGAAGTAAAAAAAATAAAACAAAATTGATGCAGCCTCAAAAAAGGATGCGGGCGGGGACGATCAACTGGTATTGTTTTTTATTACTTGGCCTTACTACGCTATATTGGCATCTTAAGAGCCTATTTACAATACACTGGCCAGTCATCACATTGCAATTAAGTCTATGCAGTGTGCATTATCTCCGACCAGATAGCCTTCACCTCCCCTCACAGCCATCCAATTTACGTTTTGTTTAACTTTGCATTCTTCCCTTAATCCTAACTCCCTAGCATGATTTACCAGGAACCATACCCATCGTGGCTAATTCGAACACCATATGGGAAACTGCACACGTATTTCTGAATTTGATTCTGGAGGTTGCCAACCCAATGTAAAAGACTGTCAGTTTCGGGGTACTGTACCCATTCCGACAGATTCCAACAAAACATGCCATTGGGATTTGATCTGTTGAGTTCTGTTATAGGGTTAAGTCACCAAAAAAGGAAATTCCACTTACATGCTGGGGTTGTCCAATGGTAATACCCTGAGCAGCCACAAACTCCTGTTGTCCCTCGATGGCCTCTACTGCGGCAGGCTGGACCATCTGCTCTTTAGGCACCGAGGCCTCGGCTACAGGCTGCACCATTTCCAGCTGTTGCTGCTGCTGGTGCTGCAGTGCCACCTGCTCCGGCAGTTCCGACAGTGTAACAGCGACTGCGGCAACCTACAGGATGATTTGGTGAACACACAGGACAAGTTAGCACCATAGTGTCACACAATTATACTAATTTCCAAACACCCAAGCCCTAACACTGTCAATATGGCATCAAGTCCAATGTTTTTAAATAATAAGGGTTTTTGTGCTTCCTCAAAATCCTTCAAGACCAGCAGGTGTAGTTTAAGGATCAGTGAGGATGAGGGTTGAACAACAGTTTCAGCCAGAGGGGTGTCTGGGTGTCTTTTGGAGCCCTAACTTTAATTTGGAAATTCCACATTGTTATGCGAATATACATAAAAGCATACAACTTCTGCAAGTTTGGCCCCATGTTCAAAGCAAATGCAGACTGTGCAGAATATATCAATATTAAAATATCTGATCTCCAACTAAATATCCAGAATTTTCTGAATTTGAATATTCGAAAAAACTGTGAGTAGTCTTGAGAAGATCAAGAGAAATGGCTGTGATGACATTTTAATCGTTTGAGTTTGCACCTTTCAAATCTTTCAAGTATCAGCTAGACAGCTACACGTAAAAAAATATTGATACATACATTACATTTTTAATATTTATTAAGCTGATTGTTAATGCGACTCACAATCAGTGAACCAATACATTTCCGATCGATGAACGCAAAATTTAACCAGGGCGTACACATGCAAAACTTGCTGTGTTTTGAATATTTGAATATTCGAATCAAGGTATGTTTGAATAACAGAAAACTAAATTATTTGAAAATGCACAGACCCAATGCTCAATTTTCAAAAGCTGACAAAAGCCCTAGCTGTGATGAGTACCTGTTCTAGTTGGTCCTGGCTTTGGGTGTCTCCTGATGCAGCAGGAGCAGCCGGCGCCGTTGTCGTTGATGACAACTCTTGATTGAAGTTCTGGAGGTAGGTCTCCAGCACGTTAATAGACGCGGCGGCAGCGATGCTATCAGCTGCAGCCGAGCTGTTGCTGGCAGCCACGCCGTCGCCAGACTCTGCAACCACTGCGGCTTCATTCTCCGCACCGTTAACGCCTGGTGTCTTCACTGCCTCATCAGCCTGGGCTTGGGCTTCATCCAGGTTGGCTTCCATGGCGGAGTCAAATCCTCAACTGATGACAAAATAATATGAAAGCACATCAATAATTAGTACAGAAACAAATTTATTTCTGCAACAGTAAAGATTCCATCAAAATTTCTCAACCATCTCAGAATGTCTTCTTTTTGCATGCATAATTTTGAAGGAAAATAGCCTGTAAATATTAGTATTACCAGTATCCCAGTGTAACTTCAATGTTATTACCATAACATAGAAACCGATGATCTCGTAAGTTGTCAAGTTTTCTTTAAAAAGTGGTCAAAATGTACATGAAGTGGGACACTTGTTAACAAGAAACTTAAAAAAAATAATATCTTTCTGAAACCATGAAACTGAAAACAAAATTTCTTGCGGTGGAATCTTTTTTTAAAAATTAGAAAAATTGAAAATGTTCATCATATGAATGAATGTTTACTCCATGAATATATATGACTTTTGTCTTTCTGAAATGGCAGTCGCTGGTTTCATGATTGTAATATTCTGAATTGATTCAATGGATTAGCTATTTGAAAAAAAATATTTCTGAACCAATTGTTTCAAATCAAATGAGAATTATTCACTTTTAAAATTAAAAAAATAGTGCTAGGCTTCTAGTTCTAGCAAAGATGTGTGTAGGCCTGGGAAAATATTGCAACCTGCTGCCACTATTTTCTTCATATATCATCTCAATGAAAGTCATTCATTGCAAAAAAGACATGAATCTGGGACTGAGAAACATTTCCAATTTTGTTAGGAAATACTTGGAAAATTTTCTTGACTCTCCATAGACTTTGTATACAATCACGGAAGTGGCAGTCATGCAAAAATTCCATCAATTATCGGTTTCAATGTGGTCATGAATGGTTGTTAATCTGGTATGCATCCATCGATTAAAAAATAAACAAAACATAACATAACACTAGGCAGCTAAATTGGAACACAAAAAAAAAGGCATTTTATTTTTAAATTATGGAGTTATGGTTTCCCTTTTTTAAGAAGTAGGCCTAACATTGTATTAGGCCCAATAATGTTTGCCTTAATCAATCTTCTTCTTTTTTTAAATAAGGGTAGGCCCCCCCCCCCAGCATTTCATTTTTAACATGTTTAAAGCTTTAAAATGTGGCCAATTTTATCTACATGATCACCCAGTACAGTGAGTGTCATGCATTGCACTAGCCCCATAAATGTGGCCAATTTCAGTAAATTTATGGGGCTAGCATTGCACACACACAAAAGGCCACACCCTGTCCAGCTGCAATAAGCTGCATTGTGTCACATAACATTTATTGCCAAAATATCCACGAAAACGATGGAAGGTTATTCTGAGTTCACTTGTGTGTAACACAGACATGCCTTCGTATACCAACAGACCCAAATCAGATCCCCAACGGCCGCAAGAAAGTGGCGCTCTCCGTCCGCCTAGCGTCCAAATTTCGACAGCGTCATTTTCTTTTCTCATTTGCATAAAGCCCCTGAAGATTTTTTTGGGCCGCTTGGGGGCGCAAGATTACAAAACAACAGCGAAAACTTCACAAATATTCCCCTGAAATGACAATAATCGGAAGAAATGATATCTGAAGAACCTATAAAACAAAGGATGCTAAGATATTGCAGCGTGATTAAGGTGAAAATCTGGTGTAAAATGAGGTCTTCCTCGTCAACTACGGAACAAGCTCGCGCGGTCATTTGCATATTTCCCAAAGACGACGATGGCTCAACGACGTCTGGGGGCGCTAACCAGCTTCAGCTCCTTTTCATGAAAATTAATCACAAATAAGCCTTACCTTTAGATCTATGACGATCTCTGGTCGTGTATGTCACTAATTCCAACAATAAAGTGGCCAGACTCTGCGAGATGACTGAGTATTTTAGAGGAAAAAAGCTCCAAAACGAACACGGACAATGGCGCCTTTATGAAGCAAGATGGCGCCCTTCGAGTACGCATGCCCGTTGACTCAAAAGGTTGCATTAACCCGACGACTCTTTAACGCCCTCTAAAATCCACCGAAATTCTTTTATTTATATTCCAATTTTAAATTTAGCTTGCGAGACAGGTCATTAAACTAAAGATTTTCATGTCCAATTGGAAAAAAGTAAAGCTTTTGGTCACGTTTCGTTAGAACTGTTAAATTTTTAGGAATATTTATATTTGCCATGAACCAGTCGTCGGATATGGATGCGCATACACATCGCATGCAGATTCGTCGGGCATGGCACGCTAGCGCCGCAGTGTCACGATAATGCCCTGGCATATTGTGTACACTGTACAGTACATGATGCACCATTGACCAAAAAAAATCTATAGAAAACGCTCAGAAAAAGGCGTTCATTCATTGTATAGTTCGTGACGCAAATAATATTGAATCAATTAATAAATCAACGAAATATAGCATATGATTCTTCCACACCCTAGAACAGAAAATGGAAGAAGAACTTCAGGGGTGCTGTGATGTACTTCTAAAACTGAACACCGCCCTCTGTTGGTTACATTAAAGTTGACCTTTCGGGGTTCACCAGCTTGTTCTGAAATGATCGTGTCTTGTGTGAAGTTACTCTAGTTAACTAGACATTTGTGGCTGCTCGTCAGCGAATAACATTACATGGTGTCAGAAAACGGATCATAAAAGTTGCAATGTCAGGCCTGAAACCACCGGGACAGTTGCAGCTGGAAGGGAACTTGGCGAAAAACTGGAAGGAATGGGTGCGTTCATTTGAACTGTACGCTATGGCAACGGAACTGCAGAAGAAACCGGAGCCAGTGCAGTGTGCAACGTTTCTGCACGTGGCGGGCCCAGCGGCACAGCGTGTATATGCGACACTGACGTTCGCGGACGATGAGAAGGACAAACTGCAAGTACTTAAAGCCAAGTTCAAACAATACTGTGAACCCAAGAGAAACCTGTCAGTACTGCGATACATGTTCAACTCGAGAAACCAGAAAGTGGATGAGCCGTTCGACACATACTTGACAAACGTGAAATGCCTGGTGAGGGAATGTGAATTTGGTGACATTGAGAATTCCCTCCTTCGAGACAGAGTTGTGTGTGGTGTAAAGGACACAAAAACACGAGAAAAACTGCTTCAGGAAGATAATTTGACTCTGGAAAAGTGCATCAATATCTGCCAGGTCAGTGAAATGAGCGCCACACATGTGAAAGCCCTACAGGCTGAACTGAATTTGACCCAGCAAAGACAGGAGGTTAACCGGGTGACGTCCACTAAAGCCAGACCTCCGACCAGAGCTGCAAGTCGCAAGGAAATGTCAAATAACAACGCAGAAAATGGGACAAAGTCACGGTGTGACTTCTGTACTTACGTACACTTCACAAACCGCTGTCCTGCAAAGTATGAGCAGTGCAACTCGTGCCATAAAGTTGGACATTTCAGCAAATCGAGAATATGCAAAGCCCAGCACAAGTCGCGACCAAAGATGGTCAGGGAAGTCAACGAAAGCAGTGATGATGATGAGGACAACACCCAGTATGATGTCGCCGGTGTCAACCTACAGGAACCAAGGAAACAACTCGAGGACCTGATGATAGACTACATCGCTGGACAAGAATCAGGCGACTGGACTGAAACCTGTCAAATTGGGAGAAACAAGGTGGACTTCAAGCTTGATTCAGGATCTCAAGCGGACATTCTACCAGAAGACTGTTTCAAAAACACTGGACTGGCATTGCTTCCCAGTAATGCATCTCTCAAATCCTATTCAGGGCACAAGATTAAGGCATTAGGAAAGACCATAGCCAATTTGAAGGTTGGTACAGGTACCGGTTGCACCACACAACAAGTTGTTTTTCAAGTGGTAAGCGGAAATGTAAAACCTATCTTAGGTCTGAAAACATGTCAAAGGCTAGGATTGATTAAGAGAGTAAGAGTAGATGAAGTGGTTAGTGGTAGTGCGCAAAATGTGCCAGTGCATAGCAACATCACGTTCACAGAACACAATGATTTGTATGAAGGGCTAGGGAAACTGCAAAACCACGAATATGAGATTGAATTGAATGTAGATGCCGCACCAGTTCAGAACCCTCCACGCACTATTCCTTACACATTGCGCGACAAAGTGAAGGCTGAATTAGAGCGTATGGAAAAACTTGGGGTCATTGCGCGTGTGGAAGAGCCCACAGACTGGGTCAGTTCCATGTCAATAGTTGGTAAACCGGATGGCAGTGTGCGCATTTGTCTTGACCCGCGAGAGCTCAATAATGCCATAAAGAGAGCCCATTACCCTATGCCCACCCTCCGAGATGTTGCAGCGCGCATGCCACAGGCTAAGGTGTTTTCAAAGTTTGACGCTACAAGTGGTTATTGGCAACTTCCTCTCACACAAAGAAGCTCGTACTTGACAACATTTAACACACCCTTTGGAAGATTTCGATATATGGTTCTACCATTCGGCATTTCGTCGGCAAGTGAAATTTGGCAGTGCGCCATGGTCACTGAATTTGGGGCACTTGAAGGGGTTGAAATTGTTGTCGATGATATCCTAGTTTGGGGGGAAAACACAACTGAGCATGATGAGCGAGTAGCTAAGTTCCTGGAAAAAGTCAGAGAATCAGGACTTAAACTCAATAGGAAAAAGTCTGTCATTGGCACAGACAAACTTGAATATGTGGGTCATGTGATTTCTGCAGAAGGACTCTCACCAAGTCCAGCGCGTATCCAGTCTGTATTGGAAATGCCAATCCCCACTAACAAACATGAGCTTGAAACCTTTCTCGGCATGATCACATACGTTAGTAAGTTCATTCCCAATCTTTCTGAAATCACTGCGCCGTTGCGACAGCTTACCGAAAAGCAAATAGCTTGGCACTGGGATGAAAAACACACAAAAGCCGTGGAAACACTCAAGCATATTATAACATCAGCACCAGTACTGATGTTATATGATGTGAATAAGCCGGTCAGCTTGGCCACTGATGCATCCAAGCATGGGTTTGGATCTGTATTGATGCAAGATAATAACAGACCAGTGGCATATGCATCGCGTAGTACTAGTCCTGCTGAAAAAAATTACGCGACTATTGAAAAGGAGATGTGCGCCATTCTCTTTGCGTGCCACAAATTCCATGACTATATCTTTGGAAAACAGACAACAGTGATCACAGATCATAAGCCATTGGTAGGAGTGTTCCAAAAGCCATTGCATAAGTTGAGCCCACGATTGCAGCGTATGCGCATGCACCTACTGAGATATGACCTCAGTGTACAATGGCAACCAGGTAACACAATGTTTGTGCCAGATGCGTTAAGCCGCATAATAAATAGCAGAGGCGACAACATCTCAGAGTTTGATGACTCGCGGGAAATCAACATGATTTTAAGACAACTCCCAATTACTGAGTTACGATTGCAGCAATTCCGTGAAGAAACAGCCGCGGACCCCACACTTGCGAAGGTCAAAGGTCACATTATGAATGGCTGGCCTGTTGATAAACACCACTTGACAAGTGATGTTGGCCCATACTACGCAGTCCACAATGAATTAGTGTTCTGTGATGGCATTCTTTTTCTTGGCAACCGGGTTGTAGTTCCGCGAAGCATGCAGGAGGACATGCTTAAGAAAATCCATGAGTCTCACCTAGGGATAGTGAAACTCAAACAGAGAGCACGAGCCATCTTATACTGGCCGGGCATGAATTCGCAAATTGAAGACACGGTAGCCAAGTGTGCTATCTGTCAGTCAAGTAGGAAAACTCAACCTGCTGAACCAATGATACAACATGACATACCTGACAGACCATGGTCTAAACTAGGTGCAGATGTGTTCCACTTAGGAGGAGTGAACTATCTGCTTGTAGTTGACTACTACTCCAAATTTCCAGAAGTACAGGCCTTGCAAGATCTCACAGCCCATTCGGTCATACATGAATTGAAAATTATATTTGCCCGCTCCGGTACACCAGATCTGTTGATTACTGATAATGCAAGCCAATTTGTATGCGAAGACTTCAGAACTTTCCAAAACATGTGGGAGTTCAGGCATGTCACGTCTAGCCCCAGGTACCCACAAAGCAACGGGCAAGCCGAGCGCTGTATTCAAACAGTGAAAACACTCATGAAAAAGGCTAAGGTGTCTGGCAGGGACCCTTATATGGCACTACTGGAATATCGCAACACACCCCTCGATGGCACAGAGGGTTATGCACCAGCACAATTACTCAATAGTCGCTTGCTCAAAAGCCGACTTCCCACTTCATCGACTCTTCTTCAACCACAAGTAGTCCCACCCATGAAAGCCAAACTCAAAGAGAGACAGACTGTGCAAAAACACTACTATGACGCAAAATGTAGTAAGCCAAAGCGCACACTACACACTGGGGAACAAGTTAGATTCCAAAATCCGCACAGCCAATGGGTGTTAGGGAAGGTGACAGTAAAACATGATAACCCTAGAAGCTATATGGTTGCGACACCAACTGGACAGGTGTATAGAAGAAATAGGCGTCACATTGTTCACTCCAAAGAACATGCTGACATTGAAGGGAATTCATTGTCTCAGCCCAACCTAGTCTCTCCTAGCACACAGAATGAAAATATCCATCAGACTGCAGAACCTGAAGAACCAAGTGAGACAAAACAACATAGTGTAAAATATGATAGCGTGACTGTAGGTCAGACTACTACTACTAGAAGTGGCAGGGTAGTAAGACCAACTCAAAAACTTGACCTGTAAGCTGAAGTTGTGCACCAAATTGCATGGACAGTAAATAACAGATTTGTGGCTTTTTCAAGATGGTCTAAATTCATGTACAAACGCTTGTGCTTTTTTCAAATTTGCTTTATTTGCTTTATTCAAACACCTTCCATAGTTCTCTAATCCTCCCTTTTGTAAATCACATTTTGCAGTATTCCCTTATAAAGTTCAGTAACACTTTGCTCAAGCTTATTGTTTGTTTCCTACATGTACATGTAAGTTCCCAAAGTTCAACTTGTTTAATGTTTACTTAATTTGTATGGGGGAGATGTGATGTACTTCTAAAACTGAACACCGCCCTCTGTTGGTTACATTAAAGTTGACCTTTCGGGGTTCACCAGCTTGTTCTGAAATGATCGTGTCTTGTGTGAAGTTACTCTAGTTAACTAGACATTTGTGGCTGCTCGTCAGCGAATAACATTACAGGTGCCCAGGCTTGGAATAACCTTACCGCAACATTTGAAATCTCCGCCGCTCCAACAAGTCTTAATCACTTCGTCAAACAACTCAAACAGCTCAGTTAAAAAATAAATAAAAAATAAGTGGGGGAAAAAGAAGAAGAAAAAAAAGGGGGGGATGTCATCTTGCAGTGATGTTTTGTATTGTATTGTAAATGTCTGTTTATCATCTGTGTAATTCCTGGTTTTTTTAAATGAATTTTTTTAACATTCTTATATTGTACTCTTAATATTTTAATTGTATTTTAATATAGTAGTTTTGTGTGAGCTGGGATCCATGGGAGATCAGTGAGTTTTTCTCACTGAATGGATCACCCTGGATAAATAAGAAATAAATAAATAAATAAATAGCATATAATTACTATCATCATATTTTCTTTCTTTCCATGTTAATTCTGCGACTTTTTGCCGAGTTAATTTTTTTAAAGTGAAAATTCATTTCTTATGATTTGTATGAGTACTGTGGTGATATAGGTGGTTTTATTGACATTGTATTTATTTACACCTGTTAATGTACGGTATGTACCCTTAAGGAGACATTTTGTCAGACACCCGACATTATAGAGACATTTAAATGTCTCCCTTATGTCACAACTTTTATTGTCGCAAATAGGCTAGATCGATTGATCATGATCCAAAACATAAATATACCAAACTTCGTGGGGATGGGATAAGGTGAAATTGGGGTTAGAGGTCACTTATCAGGTCAGAAGGGGAATACCATTTATTGTAAATTTAGAAGTTTGGGAGAAATAGGATTTTTTTTTACTGTATTTGAAATCCTGGAATATTTTAAGTTCAGGCAAAAGTGAAACTTAAATAATAAATCATGGGTTACGACCAAAACAAATATTACAATGTAACTGATGTAACAATGTAAGCAGCTCCCGAGAAACTTCTTCAATTTGGGCGCTTTGGTGAGTTAAAAAGAAAGAAAAGTTTCTTCACTTACCCGCCAAGCCACACCCTTGAATTTACCCAGGGTTCGAAATTAGCGGTAGTAGCCCGCTAGCCAAATGCTAGTCAAAACAGCAGCGGGCTAGTCAAACTATTCCTTAAGAAGCCCGGCTGGCGAGTTAAAATAATTTTGGGATATGGCAAAGATGAAAGGAAAGGAAGAAATATATCATTAAATTCAGAAAGCAAACCTGTATCAATTTCTGTCAAACTTTATCAACTGTTTTAAGGGTTATTATAAACACTGACAAAGTTACGACAGAATTGAGCCTGAAAGTACGCCATTTTGTATTTGAGCTTAAAAAAACATGCGGGCTAGTGAAAATGCCCGCGGGCTAGTTAGAGTCTGGTTCAGTAGCCCGGCTGGCTATAGTGACCAAAAAAAGTTAAGGTCGAACCCTTTTGCCTGAGTGTTTTCAGTTGGCGTCTCCCCCGCACGTCTTTAGATTTTCGCCCTTACTTGGTCTCACCATGGAGCTATAAAGGGGTCTCACCCATGGTCTCACCCGGGCAACATCATCATTTGCCCCTTCCATCCTTGCACAGCCTCGTGCCTTGGTTTTTATCATGTAGCCATTTAATAGTTCCATGGTTTTGTCAAATTTTCTAATCCTCTTCAATGTATATGAAAACTATTTGACATCCCTTTTTGGTTAATTTGATTGAAAAGTGCACTTTTTTAAACATTAAAAAAATGTCCTTGCTTTTCCTGACAAATGAGGTATACTTTCTCTCAGAAAAGTTGAAAAAGTTGAAACACCCTCCCTTTCCACGTCCTACTTCAAGTTGGTACGTTGGGATAAAAAATAGCTGGGTAGCCTATATTCGTAGGGCTATGTAGGCCCTATACACTGCGGGATGTAAGACCTACATTTTAACAGAGAAATAAGCTCCTATATACATTTTCCGACTCCATAATGTCAGACTGAGCGCAGATTTTTGCACATCATCATCCAGCCAACCGCAAGTAAAAACCAACGAACTGTTAATGTTAAGTGTCCACAATATTGATCCTTCGCACCCGGCGTGCGTGGTTTAGCTTGCCATCGACTCGAGTGCATTGCGATAGTGCAACGGGGTGTCAAAAGCAGACGATATTTTTTGAGCCGTGGCGCGGACTGGCTGAGGGCATTGATTTCCCGCCAAAAATGTCCGCCGCCAATTGACACTTTGATGTAACGGCGTGGTTATGGATAGATCATGCACCTAATTCGCGTTTTTCGCTTCATATCTCCAGTCAAGAATGATGATGATGGGCAGGTATAGCCGTTATCTAAGCTCCAGCGCATTCTACGAACTCTATCAGGTTTGAAGCCGGTTTTCCAGGCCAGTTTTATTTAATGTGACATGTAGACAAAGACCTTGGCTTTGAGTTTGAGGCTGTCTCTTCAATATGCAGGCGTACAGTCATCAGCCACGATGTGGCGTATACGGTAGCCGATCTTCATGAACGTGCCCCAACTTGAAAGTTGTCAAAGGCCAATCGGGAGAGGGTTGCACTGGCCAGCAACTCGACGGCTTAAATTATAGGGCGAAATGAAAGGTCTGACTGATGAAGAAGATGCCGAACGTTTTCTTTCAGCCTTTCTTGCTCCCAAACCACGCAAACCACAGGTCTGTTGTACCCTGCCAGGTAAAGACATCATGGGCCAAGTGTACGGGCCTAGTAATCGTCCATTAACGAATCTGGGCAAGTTATCACTGTAAACACATATCATGGAGGCCCCCTATAATGGCGAAGACGATTTGCTAGGTATTGTACAGATCAACAGACAATACCGGTACAGTTGTCAATGCTTTCGCAATTGAAGGGGGGGGGGCTCTGTGATAGTGTCCGGATTGGTCCGTAGATATACCTAATGTTATATGATTTATGTCTGCATCTATGAACTAGGCAGGTTTCCTCTTTTCAGGACTTGTATATATTTCTCGGGTGTAAACTGCTGGGGAGTTGTTGCGCCCAAAAGCCAACAGGGATACTCAATTAAAATTCAGTAAATACATTTGTATTTCCATTGAATTTAACCAAACTTTCTCTTATCGTTGAATTCCTCGAGGACGGGACCAAATAAATCACTGACAAGAACTTTGACAGAGCGCCCTCTGTTGTCAGTAAATATCCTGATAGTTTTCAGCAACACACACACGGCCCGGATAAGGCCGAGTGTGGGCTACAACGCATTTAGCTTCAGTCTCATAAATGTACTGACACCCCCCCCCCCAAAAAAGTTTTTTTTTTAACTGGGGGGGGGGGGGTGATGACTTTTATGAATGGCAACATCCAAAAATGAATTTATAGGCCCACTCTTGTTATACATGTATCCGGGCTTCTGGCATTAACAGGAGGGAGTGGAGATAATCAGAAAAGGGACAGAATTGCATATTCCCCTTTTCCTTGAAAAAAAGGTTAGCTTTGCCTATTTAGTGACCCAATATGCCACAGCTTTTCTTTTATTACTGAGCATTAACCAAATTGACCCTTAACAATACCTTGGCGTGGGTTTTGAACCAGCATCCTTTGGTAATGTGTTCTCGTTGTTACAGGTTCATATCCCATACAGTTTCATAACACGTGAACCTAGGCAGTTTCACATTGTTGTTTGATGTGGATTGGAACAGTTTCCATGCAACTGCATGTACCTATAATTCCTTATTGCAGTTTTGAAACAAACTGTCTTCCCTATGGAAATGCAACACACAAAAGGCTCAAAAACAAAAACAAACCATGCACATCCATATATAAATATCCATAAAGTTGTCCTATTTTTTTTATTAGTTAAACCTCGGTATCACAAAATATACAATGTTCCACTAAATACTACATCATACATATGCAGTGCATCTACAATACTTATAGTGGGTGGTGCAATGTACTACAGGCCATAGTTTTCTGTCTTTTTAAAAGCTATAGTGCACAATTTGTTCTACATTATTGTTCCTACAGACATGTAATAATACTGTTCCAGTTTGATACATTAACATGATGGTATAACACACTAAGGAGTGGAGACCAAAACTCGGCAGCCCTCAATAATACAAAAATAACCATTTGTTGTAAAAGAACTCCGGATACTTAACTGTCCAAAAGAAGAAAACAGGAAGGTCTAAAAATCAACGCTGAACTGTAAAAAAAAAAAAACCCATCCAATTCTGTCAGATGATCAGTAGTCAGTCAAACATAATCCTACCCAAGGTGCTTGGGCGTTTATGGGACCCAGGGTTTTAAAGCATGCATTAATTTCAGTGGTGCTTGTGGGGACAGATGGCACATGTGGCTGTTTTGATTGTTTGTTGGCATTTCAACCAGGTAGATATACAGTAAATTCTCTACTTTGCCACTAAAGTCACACTAAGGTGGACACATTTAAGTGAAAAACAGGTTTGTGGAAAACCAGTGTAACTGATTGGCAAATTTGTAACAATGTTTTCTTGTGTAAGGATTTCCCTTTGAGTAAATCCCAGTTACAAAATTAGATTTTGAGTTTGACGAATGCCACAGAAAAGTAAATATTATGTTTGACTGACTAATTCGTAACAATCTCCCTTATCAATAAAGTTTATAAAATACGCACCCATGCTTTTCCTAAATCACAGTTTTTAAATCACCATCTCCATTATTTTAAATGAAGCGGTACGATTCAAATACAGTGAAACGTTGCCCTGGCTACACAAATACAATCCAAAGAACTATTTGTGAAAGACTGAAAATCAAAGTGTTCAGTTCAATGAACATGGTATGGCAAAGTCAATTTAATGGCATTCAAAAGCTATAGGAGTACACCAATACTGCAACTTCACAGAAATACCCTCGAACTCCATGAAAAAAACCTTCAAATTCTTTCAGAAATGCAACAGGAATTAAATAAGTTTTTTGTTCATATCACTATGGAAATCAATTTGTCCAATACAGATTGTTTGTGTTCCCAAAAAAAAGTTGTACAGAAAAAAACAAAATGGCAGGTCTGAATGTATCAGAATGGCCAACTCTACAAGTTGACAAAGCTGGCAGTATTACTTATTCTAGTAGGCAGTTAAGTTAATATAGCTCTGGTGATATATCCACACTGTACAAGTTTTGTACAATAAGAACACTGTATACACACACACACACCTGGTCCACAGATTCTTGCATCTCACACGTATTTCGTTATCGACTGCTTTTTTTCCTTCAAAGTTTACACCTATTTACAAAATTGTACTTTTCCTTTGGCTTGCTTTGGTCATCTGACCTGAAATGTTAAAAATTTCTTTTTTTTCTGCTGTACAATACAAAACACAATTTAATGCAATATTTTATTTTTTTGAGCACACATATGCAAAATAAAATTTTAAAAAGGAAGAACAAAACTTAAATGCTGAAAGACTGTTAGAAAAGAAAAGGAAAAAAAAGTGAGAAAAAGTTATGGGATTTTAGAATATGCTACCAGCTGATTTTTTTTTTTAGAATACTTAAATGGTATAGATTGTGTTAATTGTTCATTAGTGGCTGTTAGTAGTGATCTAAACTATTTATTTTTGGGTGTATATCTACTGGTTATAGTAAAAAATAATCAGATGATACTAGTATATCTTAATACTGCATATTGGCAATAGATGTCATGGCAGTGCACATGAAAACATCAAAATGTATAAGGTAAGCACAAAATTGCTATACCACTTTTTTTCAAAGATTCATACTGTGGCACTGACACAAATCATAAAAGCTAAACTGCTACATCCACAAAAAAAGTCAACATAACACAGAAAGTACAATTTACTACCAGCTCATTAACACATACATGCAAAATAACTCTAAAAATTTATATGAAAATGTTTTAGTTGTTGAACAATAAATTAACGGTAAAACAAAGATTGGAAAGCACAAATTATAACCATTTAGAAGTGTTTTCGTCACAGGCTGATAAAGAAGTAATGATAATTCATTGAGCTGTACATAAAGCTGCAATACTGAAGCAGATTTCAAATTGTAACACTGCATAGGTTCCAAGCCAAAATACAGAATAAGAAGTCAAATGCCTTAATAGTAGACAGGAGCATTACATCCCCTTTTTATGTAGGGAAAAAAAGCTGTTTGTCTTGTCAAATTGTGGGGCCAACATTACAGTGCAGAAAACAAGACAATGCAAGTAGGCTTTTACATTTCAGCTAGGCGTACCGAGAAAAGTGTTTGTTGTACATTAATGACTGTTTGTATAATATACACAATGATACTTTTTAATACACTTATATACACACACATCACTACTAATGTGACAGAGTAAATGTTTACATCATTACATACAGAGATATCGGTACATCTTTTACTTGATTGAATTTTGACATCTTTAATTGGAAGTTTCCAGGGAGGGGTTTTTCTTTTTTTTTGACGGGAAATGTTTTTAATATGAAAGACCAAATATGTAATGGACACACATTTGTATTTACAACTCTCTTTCCATTAATCAATGTTGTAGATTATTTGTTTGCTTAAATATGCATTCAACAAAAAGTTATTACAATTTAGAAATCAGATGACTCCGTTTTCTTACACTGCAAGTTGGAAAAGGTTTGCTGATGTTCAACAGTGAAGAGACTGCACCATGGGCGTAAATCCTGTGGGGGATGGGGAGGATAATATTCCCCCCACTTTTTGACCAGGGGGATGGGCCACTGGATCAAACCCCCTTCCCATTTTTGTTATGAGAAATAAAAAATGTATGAAATTGTTTTGAAAAACGGAGAACAAACATACAAAAGCTTTAAATGCACCGTTTTGACATCGGGGATGTAAGGGGGCAAGTTGGCATAAAATGTACATTTGTGTGATGAACAGCCCCCTAGTGTGCGCTGCCCACAGCCCCCCCCCCCCCCCCCAATTTTGGATCAGACAATTTTACGATTTTTGGTCATCCCCCCACTTGCCGACATGGATTTACGCCACTGGACTACACATCTTGGACTTGTAGTTGTCACAAGTTTTACTACTATACTGTATTTTATAAAAATCATTTTCTTTGTATGCCACACAACCACTTCAACTGTACATCAGGAAACACAAATTAATTACGTTTGTAGAAATATGGGCAAAACATAATACTTAAAGCAATCAAATGCATTTTTCATTTACCCTGTTAAGGAAGACTCAATTCAAAATAGTGCATTTTTCTTAACACAAAATTAACAAATTACAGGCTGTTTTGGTAGAAATCCCTGAGAAACTTAGCATGAAAAAAAAAATTACAAATGAACAACTTTCCATGACAGATATTAACCTGGAAAAATAATCAGTAATTGCCACAGCATATCATCAAACTTTTTGGGCAGCAAAGTTATGCAAATGCACTAAAAACCCATTTTCCCCCTCGCTATTTCAAAGCAGAGAGCAAATACTAAGGCAGGAATAAATGCAAAGCATTAAAAAAAAAGATTTGTGTCCGACGGTACACCATAACCTTTTTTAAATTGTGGTGACATTTTGATACATCTTTGTTCTTCGAAAAAAAAAAAAGTTATAAAAAATTATAGAAAATGTCAACATTTTGAGAGCCTAGGCGCAACCTAATACTTCATTGGGATAGTAAGTGGCGTTATGCTGTGCTTTGGTTTTGATGCAGAAAAACACCAAGAATAACTTCCAACTTTTAATGGATCTTTTGGGAAAGCAAATTTAACCCATGCACTCAGCTTTTTTTTTTGGTGGGTGTTGTAATAGAACACAAAGCAGAACTCAAGATGTCTGGGTGACCAGTGACGGATTGGTGGCAGTTCAAGAGCAACAACCTCCAATCCACATCACAGATCAATCTGGCTTGAACATGTCTCTACCCCCAAAAAATGGATGTGAAATTTTTGGCGGGGCTCCCACAAACATATGCTCATTGATGGTTTGGGCTGCAAAATATGACGGATGACATTGTAAATGTGTGGTTTGCGTGACAGAACCCGGGCTATGGGAATGGCCCTTTGGATTATTAATGATGACGCGCTTACCGTTAGAGTAATTCTCACATCCATCACTCATCAAGGTGGATTTTGTTTTCAAAGCTGAAGAATTTACACTTTTCCCTCTTTTTATTGTGTATGAAAATCAAATGTGTTCTCAGCCGGAGATGACGCCACACTATAGGGGTCAACAAAGTTGAGTGAAAAGTGCAAGTGGATCGGGTATTGTCATTGATGTATCTACACCAGAAACCAGAGATAACTTGTCTGAAGCTTGTAAGATCTCTGTGGCCAAGAGCAGAAGTACTTTGCAAACTATACGTTAAAGAGTTTGAGTATAATACATTATTGTGTGCAGTTTGTTTATGAAACCCAAATTCACAATTTGGTTAGACTGGAGGAGGAAAAAAACAATGCCAGTTTTGACTAATATTCTGATAGTCTGGTGGTGGTAAGGCTTTTACCTGTATTGCATCACTTGCTTTATAGGAAATGCAAACTGCATTTTGAACCTATGAATGTTGAATCAATGGTACATTTGTAGGTTTCTTGATAATTTTTTTGAGGAAAAGTCCCTTTTTTTGGAGGGGGGGGGGGGGGTTGATAGTATGTGCATCCAGTATTTAAAAAACCCAAACCTCATCAAATGTAAATTTGATTTTTTAAAAGTTTTGCCTCAAGACAAACGGAAAATATGTGTTATTCTGTTCGCTGTCTAAATAACTAATTCATGGTGTTCTCACAATTGTGTGCTTTATAAAGTACCGCACAGCAGAACATCCAATCGTAAAGATTAAATAAGCAATCATAACTGTTAGAATAAGTTAACATTCACCAATCTCAAGTATTGTAAATTTTGTCTTACTGAATATGTTACAATAAATATTACTTGAGAAATAAGTTAAGTGTCTTAAAAAAATTAATAAGGGTAAATACCAAGTATTAATGTGGTCAGTTTTTCTTTTCGACCCTGTGTCACAAATGTTTGGAGACAGATTCTACCCTTCCAATTAGGCGTATTGTCTTACTGCCCAGTATTAAAGTCTACTGTACACTTTGAAATTAGTTTGTTAGTATTGAATGGATAAGGGAAATAAGTGAATATGGCCACAAAGCAATTACATGTATTTACCTAAACATCAAGTTTTAACTCCTGAAAAAAATTCACACACTCTAGTGTTCAAATACTGCAGCAAAACAACTTTGAAAAAGGAAATAAGAAAAACAACGTAACTTTTGAGCTTTTTAAACCTCCATTCATAACCAAAACAAAATCTAACATCACATCCCTATCATTACAGTGGACACACTTCTGTTCTTCTAATTTCTCAATTTTGAGAGGCTACAGACTCAGGGATCTGGTCCCTACTGTCATGTCCCAGCTCTCTACTCTTCATAATGACGGAGTTTGAGCCTTCTGGAATGCGTGTGTGTCCTATCGAGGAATGGTGGTTCTGAATTACCGAGATCTCATTAGCCTTGGACATGGCAGCTGCAAAGCCATTCATGATTGGTGGTGGGTACTGGAAGAAAGCACCCTCATACATCGGCCGTAGTCCAAACATATCTGGTCTGAACATCTCGCCTTCCTTAGGGCTCCTCATGAGTGGGGCTTCCATGGAGATGCGCCTTCCCCGCCGCGTGGGGCCGCCGTTCCACATATGGGTTCCCAGATGCACCTTCAGATTTCCCTTGGTGGTGAACGCCCGGCCGCAGATGTGGCACTTGAACGGCTTCTCACCGGTGTGGGTCCGGATGTGGATCTGGAGAGCGCTGTCTGATTGGAATTGCTTGCCACAGACATGGCAGCTGTGCCTCAGCCGTTTGGGTGGGGAAGGACAACTGGATTCTGAGATGGAACGCTTCAGCGAGGGTTGGGACGGGGGGATGGGTAGATCAGTGGGATGTGGCTTCTGCAGGCTGGGATATAGCTTCTGATGTATGTCCGGTTGGTATTTGTTGTTATTGTTTGGAGAATGATGCTGCTGATGCTGCTGCTGATGCTGCTGCTGCTGCTGCTGCTGCTGCTGAAGCTGGCTGCTCGGTGTCAAGTGATTCTGACTGCTAGGTGGAGTGCTTTGTTGGCTGCTTGGTGACTTCATCTGGCTACTCAGGGGGATTTCCTGAGTGTCGTCAAAGGGAGAAGCTGGCCGTTGAGGGTTGAGGGGGGATATTTTTTGTGGGGAGCCCAGTGGTGAAGGCAGCTGCTGCTGATGGGTCTGTGGAGATCTTTGGCGCTCTGGATGTGATGGCGGTGGATCACGCTGGATGAAAGGCCGGGGAGATGTTCTCTGCTGCTGCTGCTGCTGCTGCTGGTGGTATTGGTGCATGGCCATCTCTGCAGCAAAGTTGGGCATTCCAGGCATCAGCATGGAATGAGGGGGTGACTGCAAATGATGCATTGGGTGCATCATTTGCTGCTGTTGCTGATGCTTGTAATGGGGATGTGAGGGGTCAAGAATCTGTGTCGGCATGTCCCGAATCTTGTGGGTAAGCATATGTTGACGCAGATTACCTCTAGTTGAGAACCCCTTGGAGCATATTTCACACTTGTATGGCCGCTCTTTTGTGTGGCTTCTGTAATGGATATTGAGGGCACTGCTACATGCAAAAGACTTGCCACAGTAGTGACAGGTAGTGCTGGACCCATTGCTACGTCTAGACCCATAAGATGTATTGGAAGGATCTGGCATCAGTAAGCCGGCACTGCTTCCATTGAGCCTGCCATCTCCAGGGTGGGGGAAGCCCATGGGAAACAAGTAGTGGCTGTTATTAACTTGATTCTTCAGGGCTTCCAGGCTGTTTTCACTGCTCCCAGAAGAAACCGACTTGGGGGTGAGATCCAGGGCTCCGTTGTTATCCATCCGGCTGGTGTCAATTTTGAGGGGTGCTCTATGGAGATCATCCTGGTGGAACTTCAAGTTGTCTGGATGACTTTTGTGTTCATCAAAGATATGTCTGTGTTCACCCCTGTGCTCATCTGTAGCACCTCTGGGTTCCACATTTCTACTGATGCACTCATTGTCACTGATCTGCTCAGAGTCGCCTGCGTGACTTTTATCATCCTGTTTGCCTTGGAGCTCATTTTGATAGGTACTGCCTGGGTGTCTTCTTGAATCACCGTGCTGACTTCCCATTTCATCACGGTGTCTTCTTAACTCGTCATGATGGTTTTTAATGTAATTAGGCTGAAGATTAAGGTCATCAGAATGTCCTCTTGGTTCACTGGAGTGACTTCTTTGAATGCTGCCATGTCGATTTATTTCATCCTCGTGCCGTCTCACATCTTCCTGACTCAGTCTCTGGTCATCATTGTGATCATCAGGACTTTGAGATGCTTGGTCAGATACCAAGGACCCTTCTTGGCTTTTTTCTGAGGGGGACTGAGGATCTGGATTGGGAAGACGGCTAATGAGCTGTCGGTGGTGGTTCTCTGCATTGTTACTAGCTTGCAGGTGCAGTGCTGAGGCTATGGAATCAATACCTTTAGTGTAATTAGGTTGAGGTTCAGAGGACGGAGAAGCTGCTAAACTGCTATCATCAGTAAGGTAGGCTGGAGGTGAGGTAGACTCACCAGTGGGAGGTACCCCAGAAGACTCTTCAACTTCTTTCCCCATCCAGTCCATGCGCATCTCCTTACTCACATCCATCACCCTCTCTATTCCTCTGGCACGGTCCATTAGGTCACGGTGGATCTTTTGGGTGAGGCCCTTATCTTGCTCGGAGGCAGATTTGATTTGTTTGAGATTTCCTGAATCAACAGGCAAGCCATTGGGGAGTTCACCTTCTGCACCTTCTGGCTCAGAAAAACCTTCAGGTGAGGATTCCATTTGTGAAGCCATCTCATTGAGCCTGGCATCTTCGTCGTCGTCATCCTGGTCTAGGCCTTGGTTTTCATCACAGACCAGCTCTTCCACAAATTTGTCTTCAGCATAATGCTCAAATGCAGACAAGTCTTGGGGAATCTGGAAACCCTCAGCCGCATGCATGCGAAGATGTTGCTGCAGCACCAAGACATTGCTGAATCGTTTCTGGCAAATGGGACAATCGTGGAACATCCTGAGAGGAGGTTGTGCACGGTGGACACTATAGTGTGTCTTGAGGTTGCCCTTGGTGGTGAAGGAACGCAAGCAGACTCGGCATTTGTATGGTCGCTCACCAGTGTGGATCCGGTAGTGCATTTGTAGAGCGCTCTTACAGCTGAGAACCCGGTGGCATATGACACACTGACTGGAGTCGCTTATCTTCTGCTCAATGTTCTCAACCAACATTTGTAGTTTGGAGGTTTCAGAAGGCCGGAATCCTTGCTCAGCCAAGGCAGCCAAGGAAGACGGTGTCTCTGTTTTGGAAGTAGCAATGGGGGCAGTGGTGAATGTACAGGAAGATTCTGACATAATTTGACTGATGGAGTGAGCAAAGCTAGAGGTCATCGGGGCAGACGAAAATGCTGGGGATCTTTCCTGTGACAGTTGAGGGGACACAACTGCATCTGCATCCGAAGTCTTGGACTCTGATTCAGACTTGGGGAGGACAATATCTGGAACTGATTTGGGACACATTTCTTCTTGACTTTGCTGTTCAAGGGGCTGGTCACCCGAGATGCTGCTTGAGGCAGAGTCAGACCCGCTTGCCTGCGACATTGGTATTCCAGGGTGGAAAGATGTTGGAACATCATTAGGTAGGCGACCCATTTCACCTGGAATTGTTGGAAGTGGTACCTGCTGAATGGAAGGTGACTGGATTGGGAGACGCTCATTTGGCAGAGGAGGTGATGGTGGGTGGGGAGTAGTGTCCATTTTGACATGAGGATAGCGATCCACATGCCGCTGGAAGTGCACTTTTAGATTCCCTTTAGTTGAGAATCGGTTGCCACATATATTACACTTGAATGGTCGCTCACCTGTGTGAGAGCGGATGTGGATTTGAAGGGCACTGTCACTGCCAAAGACCTTGTGGCAGAAGCGGCACTTGTGCCTGAAGAATGGATCATCTGAAGGAAATTTGGGGTCAAAGACAGCAACATTCGGGGGCTTCCCCTTTCGCTGTAGCATCATAGCTGGTGGAAAGGGAAGCCTGGGTGGAGCCTGGAGTAGCTGACTTGAGACTGGTGGCATGACGCCCTGCTGATGCAACATATTGAAAGGCGGTCTTGGGGAGGGCATTGGAAAGGACACAGGGGGTATAATGGATGGCCGCAATGGCAGAGATGGCATCATCTGTTGGGGAAGTGGACGTGGCAGTGAATCAAAAGGATGCATGAGCTGCGGTGAAGGTCCTGAAGACGAAGTTGGCTGCGACATCAACTGTGGCTGTGATTCCACTGAAGGGGTGAGGGGAGCTGAGGTAGTGGTGACTGGTGTATTAGCCGAGGTAGTAGCAGGAGTGTTCTTGATCTGCATAGCCAGGTTCTGCAGCTGCTGCTGGATGCTTTGGATGAGCTGTAGCTGGTGAATGTGCTGCTGCTGCAGATGGAACAGCTGATCCTGAATGGATGCCATCTCTGGCCGGTTATGCGGTGGTCGAGGAAAGGGCCCCATTGGGAAAGGTGCATTCTCCAGACTCCCCGGAAAAACAGGTCTGCTGGATGGGGATCTGGAGTTTTCACAGTGCTGTTTCAGTAGGGAGTGGGATTCCTCATACTCCATGGAATCTACACTCTGAGTTCTCAGCCTGTCTGAGTTGGAAGCCTTTATGTCTTCCTCATGCATGCCGTTGTCTAGGGATGGCTGATGCTGCTGATGGTCCTGTGGACCATCCTCTTGGGTCAAATGGGCCTCCGACTCTTCGGTCACGGAAGGCTCCTCAATTTCCTCCTGGTCATCATACTGGCTGTCCTGTAGCTGCTGAAGCCCATTCAGTGCCTGATCATTATTGTTATGATACACAGTCTTGGTGATCTCTTGGCCATACTGGTTCTGTGCAGATGGTGGACGGCTGCTGTTGGTACTCTCAGCCTGCGGCTGACCGTCATTGTTTATCACAACCACCACTGGTTTCTTAGAGCAGGTTTGTTTGTGCTGCAGAAAATCTGAGGAGACAGTAAACTCTCCTCGACACTTGCCACAGACATGAACACCTCCTATGATCACATCTTCATCTGTTTCTTCAGTGTTGGCAGCATTCAGATGGCTCTCCTTGGCAGCACCTGCATCGGAATGAAAAGAAGTAAACAAATCATAAGTCACTATCTCTTGTCATTTACATCAATATGGTAAAAAAATTGCACATTCTTTCAAACGTTTCATGACCTGAGTGAAGAGTGAAGACTGAGCTGCTGCAAAATCTGCAAAGGATTTAACTCTAAATTAAAATAGAAAGAGGAAAGCTTTCATTTAAGTATTTAGTATGCTGTTGGTAAATGCAATACAACGAGAAGAGCAAATGACAATCCTTGATCAACAATCGCATAAAAATTCTTTAATGGCTTTACTTTTTTTCAGAAAAGGTTTTTCTTGTTCTACCCAACATGTTTACACAACAGAATAATTACTTTAAAAAGAACATGGAATGAAGCTATCTCCATGGAGGATTCCTTCTTTTTCCTCCATGGTCTCTCTCAACCACAAATTTGAACAGCGCCCTCATATGAGAGATTCTCCACACATAATGTACACAGGACCCAAAATCTGTGCACGCATATCAAGCAGTGCACATGCACTCACAGGAGTTACAGGTGATGTACTTGTTATTAAGCATTCCAGTTTCTTTTATTCTATAATCCTTTCACCGAGAGACTTGGCAAGGTTATTCAAATACAATCGTCATGCAACACAAGCTGCCCCCGTCATGTGCCAATTCATATTCTCCCCTTCTTCTTTTTTTAATTACAAATCTTCGGAGCGCGGAATTCTATTAGCTCGAACAAATTAGAGAATTTCCGTTTCAAGAGATGAATAATAAAGTGCCTTAAATTATTTTCCTCGGGGATTGCGGTCTGCCTAATTTCATTTCGGGATCCCTCTCAGGCTTTGCAGCGTGTTCATGGGGGACACTCTGTCGTCCAACAGGATGTCAATCAAGGAAAGATCAATATTCACCCGTAATCACATTATTTTGGACGATTTGTGGGAAATACAGCCGTTAGGAGGAGAGTGAGAGACAGACAGAGGAAAAGAAGCTTCATCTTTTGTTGTTTGACGTTTATTTGTGGCAGGTTTGTTTTCTTAATCTTTAATCGTTAACTCACGGATCAGTTCTTGCAAATCAAAGAAGGAAAATTTGTTGTGCTTTAAAAAGGCAATCCACTGAAGTATTTTTAATTGTCAATGTTTTTTTGTTACACACTGTCTACAAAGACTTGGACTTTGTTTTCATGCACACAGATGCTACATATATGCTACAAAAAGACTTCTTTGCAGGTAGATTTGAGCCTTTGTTTTTGAACACAAAGAAAGCCTTTGTGTCAGTTGTACCATGTTGCTTCTACCTCAACCATTCAATCACCTGGTTTTCTACATAAAAACAGGTAATTTCCAAACAGTGTGGTCACAACACTTTGCACTGTGCCAGTTCGCGAAGGTGCTTAGTACAGTCATGTAACTGGCTTGGCATTCCCAAGTCTTTTGACTATACATGCCTCATCAATATTTTTCCCCTAAACACAGTCTGTTTGTTCAATAGATGTACATAAGTGAAGCCTTATTAAGTCATTCCCGGATCTTCGCTGCAGGCAAGTTATTCATACCCAGAGAACAATGCCTTTAAGAATGCAGGTTTTTCTTGCCAGGGACTTAAAAGCAAGTTGTTAAATACCATCCTCCTCCCCCTCCCCCCCCCCCCCTCTCTGAATCCAAGCCAAGCTGACCCCGTTATGTTATGCTCCAATGTAACACACCAGGGCTTCAAGATAAATGCTACTTTTTTTATTCCTCAGCTTTTGTGAACAAGTTCCACCTAAAAAGGGCATCGACAAAGGCCCTGGGATGCACAATAGCAAGAAAGCCTTGACTCCCTCCCGCACACGGAAACTTTTCTGCTTTTCATCCCAGGCTGACAAAAGCCAAATTGGCCAGCTATTTTTGTGTCCTCATCCACTATTCACGCCTTGATGCAAAAGTCTTTCTCTTCTGCTTGGGAAGTCGGTGAAAATTTTCATTTATAATTTGGAGATGCTAGCTTAACTAACACAGGGAGGGGGCATAAGCCCCTTCTTTTCAATTCATGCACTTATGGTCAATTATGAGAAAGTTGTTTGGAGTGACAAACAGGCTGAGTGATGGGGGGGCATTAACTGGGTTTTCACGCCCAGAAAAGTTGGAGGGTTTGAATGGGAAGGGGGCAAAGACCCCTAATTTTCTGCCAAGGAGCCATTCACCCCACTGACCACAACACATTTTTCAAATAAATTACTTTTGCAGGAATGCTCACAAAGACTACATACGAACTTCCAAACATGCAATCTATCTTCAAAATCTCTAGTACAATGAACACAAGGCATTGAATCACCATCCAATTTTCCAGCATCGGAAAAGTTATTAGCTTTCAAGTTTCATATAAGGCAATGCATCAAACATTTGGCCAACAATGAGAAGGAAGGGATATTCCCATCTTGAAAATGATTAACCCTAGTATCAACCCTAAGTTGGTCAATGCACCAACTCAAATCGCCCTACCTGTTTCTCCCTGAAGCACCCAAAAGGGCCCAAGCACTCTGATTCGTCAGTTAATAAACACTATGTAATATACAATGTAGTACAGGCACTAACGCATGAATGCTCTATCTTCACGCTTAGAATGAAACCATAATTTCCAAACACTTTATAAAGCATGCATGGACGTACTGACTATATGTATTTTTTTCCAACACAAAAGGAGACTGTACCAAGCCCAACTCCCTAACAAAACATCACATTATTAGCTCTGAAACCAACAACAGCAGGTACACGTATAAGAATTATGAAGTTGTCTACTTGAAAACATTCACATTTACAGGCCCCTCAGTCATTAATATGCGGCAGGCCTCGCAACTTTGCAACAAACATTGATCCCCTCGTTGCCTCTCAGCCATTCAATTTTCTCCACTCCCCGACTGCGGCCAACATCTGAACCACTCAAAAGCAACTGGCAAACAAACTGGTTTGTTGTGTGGATAACATTACCGGGGCTCTGGGCAATGTGAATGTAAGGATCTTCCGAGGGGAAAATATGTAAATTTGTGCGCTTTAGCTGATCATTGCCGGCTAGATTGAGTCCTCTGTGCTTTCGTAAGACATGTACACTCGTGTTTCTAAGCTTGGGACTTTTTATATAATCATCATCAGCTTGTAAATTTTGTGTTTCTTCATGCTTTCTGCTCAAAGTGGAAATTGGGTTAAGGTTTTTCACCAGGCTTGCGTTACAATTATGTGACCTTTGAGGGTTAAAGCGAATGCATACAATATCTGAATGGAAGCTTCTTCATTTTAGAAAGTTTCTGGGGTTTCAAGCCTTTAATAGAAAAGTCTTAGAGCATGTTTGTAATCTTGTGAGTAATCTTGTGACTAGGGTAATTTTTCTCTGTAACTTGGGTAACTTCGTTTGCATAAAGAATTTCTGTAACACAAATTGTGTTAAATGTATAAATAAAATTGTCCAAAAATGATCACAGCCATCACTTTCAATACAATTCCAACTGCAACCTCCAAATGTGATGAAATGCTGTACAAAATTATGTAGCTAAGTTTTTAATTTTCATGACAAGAGATCAGTTAATTGGCACGCTCTGTGTCTGTTATCTTTCTTTGAAACCAACACACGCCTCTAGTGAACTATCAACTTCTAGCCATAGGTAGAAACAAAGGCTCCACAAAGTTTCATGAAATATCAAAAAAACAGACACTTTGGTAGACTTCAAGGCAGAGTAGATCATTTGAAACTACATAAAAAGTAACTGACAAATTATTGTTGAAAAGCTTACTTGGTTTAAAGATAGTGGCACTAGACTCCCTGTGAAATAATTCTTTTTGTCATGCTGCCATTTTGAAGAAAATAATAAAAGAAGGGCATTTCCAACGATGTGTCTAGAAACTGGTGCGCAAACACGTCCCGGACGCTGGTTTCGAGTGCAATTCAAAAACATGACTCGGCAACTTTTGAATTAAAATCAAGATCCTACAATATTGTTTTTCTTGGAATGTACAGTATTCACTGAGCTAAAACTTCATCAGGTTAGTTGTTAAGCACCCTTCTTTAGATTTTGAGCATTTTTGTTGTTTCAAAAGAAAAAAATGCACAAAATGACAAATGATGTACTCTACCTTTAAGCTCCAATTAACGTACTGCAAAACATTGCACATAAGTTGATCTTGCTAGCAGATATGAACTGAACGACATTTACTTGACCTATGATCTTCATATTTTTACAGAGCGAGTGGCAGCATTCGCCATGCTGTTTTTGCTCAACTTTCTTGATAGCTGGCACCTCGACGGGGACAGTTTATCAAAAATGCTCAAAACTTCCGCGATAATTTCTTGCTTTGGGAGATTACTGGCCCTTCCCACACGTAACGAGTCATGATTCATGGTTCTAATTTAGAGTCGTGAGGGGGGGGGGGGGGGCCTGCATGGAACCAGGCTCAAAAGACAACATGCAAATGTGTACCCCCCCCACCCCCCCCCCCCCCTTCATCGCATCTCACTAGCGCGCAGTGGCATTAACATCAATTTATGGACTAATGCCAGCGCAGGATATTTCTGTCATCAATTCGTAATGATAAATAATCCAGATTTTACACAGTGCAACAGGAGGGGGGAAAAGGCACTTGTTAATGCTCCCAAAACTTGCCAACAAATAAAAGAGGAACTAAGTGACTGAAATAATTCTCCCTCCGACTCAAGTACATGTCAACGGAAGAGACTATTGGGGTAACATTTACAGGAGAAGTGCATTTTGACCAAGGTGCCTCTTTACTACGTTAAGAATTCACATGAAAAGAATGCAAAAAAATCTTGCCTCTATACTGTAACTGTAATACAATTAATATGGTTCTGTCACAGAACTTATGTGGAAATCACAAGCAACAAATTTATCAGCAAAGCAAAATATACTCAATTTAAAGGGAATGTACAACATTTGCTTTTGCTGCAATTTTCAGAAATAAATGGATTTGGAGGATTAGTACGTTATATCAAATATTGTTAAAATGACTTGTTTCACGATTTGGGCTTGTACATGTAGATGCTGGAAAAACCAAGAAAACCAATCATGTTCTT